AGGTTTATTTCAGGAATGAAATATATTTTTAACATTGAATGCACTAATAAAGAAAAAAAACCCAAATTATACAATCATCTTGGTACATAAAAAATTAGTGAGTAAAGAGCATTTGACAAAATGCATGACCCATTCAGGATGAAACTCATAGAAAACTGAAACCAGAAGGCAACTTCCTGAGTCTGTTGAGGGATATCTTACTCACCCCCCCACACAAATCAACAACAAGCATCATACTCAATATCAAAATGTTAAAATCATCCCCCTAACATTAGGTATAAAACAAGGATGTCTGCTGTTAAACAACCTCTACTCGACATTGTACCGGAGGTCCTAGCTATTGAAATAAGGGGAGAAAAAGAACTAAGAGACATACAAATTAGAAAGGAAGGACTAAACTGTTATTTTTTAAGTTATGTTTTATATTTATTTATTTATTTTTAGAGTGGGGAGGGGGCAAAAGAAGAGGGGGAGAGAGAATCTCAAGCAGACTCCATGGCAAGCTTGGATCCCATGCGGGGCTCAATTTCACGACCCCAAGATCATGACCGGAGCCAAAACCAAGAGTTGGATGCATAATCTACTGAGCCATGCAGGTGTCCCAAAACTATTATTACTTGCAAATCACATATTTGCTTTGGGTTTTCTAGGTACACAATTTATATAAATTCAAAATTAGTGAATTTATCAATGTTGCTATGTATAGATCAATAAATAAAAGCCAATTGTATTTCTATATATCTGCAATAAATTAAAAAAAGGAAATCATACCATTTACATTAAAATATGACTAATACCTCAGAATGAGTTTAACAAAATGAACAATCCCACTACACTGAAAAACACAAAATTTCTCTAAGAAATTAAAGAAACCCTAAATAAGAAAGAATATAACATTCATGGACTAGAAGGCTCAATACTGTAAATATATAAAAATTTCCCCAAATGTATATAATGCAATACTGATTAAAAGTCACAGAAAATTTTGTGGAAATTAACAAGGTAATTCTAAAACTCATATGAAAATGCAAAGGACCAAAAATAACCAAGGCAATCTTACAGAAGAATAATAAAGCTGGAGGACTTTTGCTGCCATGTATAGAAATCCATTATACTGGTACCGTGTTTAAGACAGTGAGATACTGGGGCGCCTGGGTGGCTCAGTCGTTAAACGTCTGCCTTTGGCTCAGGTCATGATCCCAGGGTTGTGGGATCGAGCCCCGCATCAGGCTCCCCACTCTGCGGGAAGCCTGCTTCTCCTTCTCCTGCTCCCCCTGCTTGTGTTCCCTCTCTGGCTGTCTCTCTCTCTGTCAAATAAATAAAAATAAAATCTTAAAAAAAAAAAAAGACAGTGAGATACTGATGCAAGGAAAGATAAATGGACCAGTGGAACAGAATAGAGTCCAGTAATAAATCCTTACATATATGGTGACCTGATTTATGACAAATATGCTAAATGCAATGATGCTGCCCCCAATCAATTCCAGATAGTTGGAGACTCTGTGAATATAAAATAAAATTTTTAGAGGGAACAGAAGAGAATACCTTCTTGACCTGGGAGGAGACAAAGATATATTTTTTAAAAATATTTATTTACTTTTTTTGAGAGAGAGTGTATGTGTGCAAGTGGGGGAGGGGCAGAGGGAGAGGGAGAGAGAGAATCTCCAGCAGACTCCCTGCTGAGCATGGAGCCTGACATGGACCTCGATCTCACACCCCTGAGATCATGACCTGAGCTGAAATCAAGAGGCGAACACTCAACCAACTGAGCCACCCAGGTTCCCTGAAACAAAGATATTTTTAACAGGACACAAGAAACATTAACCATAAAATAAAAATATTGCAAGTTGTAATATATTAAAATCAAGGACATTTTTCATCAAATGGCAACATTAAGGGAGTGAAAAATCAACCCACGGAATGAGAAACGATATTTTCTCTATATATATATTCAATAGATCTAGATGTATAACTGATATGGGATTTATATCCACAATATACCAAAAAAACTTCTAAAAATCAGTAAGAAAAATACATCTCAAAAGAAAAAAAATGGGCAAAAAAATGTACTAAGCCACTTCACTAAAGAGGATAGTCTACAGGTCAGTAAACATGGGAAAAGTTGATCAAAGAGACTGCTACCCACACATCAGAGTGGCTATGCTGAGAAAGAAAGAAAATGCCAAGTACTGAGGTGGATGGAAACCAACTGGAACTCTATGCTTTCCATAAGTGTGTAAATTAGTACAATTACTTAAAAAAACTTTATTGAGGTATGATTGACATGTAAAAAGCTGCACATATTTATTGTATACAATTCAATGAGTTTGAGGATAAATATACATCTGTGAAGCCATCACTACCATCAAGGCCATAGACATATCCATCACCTACCAGGGTTTCCTCCTGCCGCCTTCCCCTTCTTTTCTTCTTCTCCTTCTTCTTCTTTCACTTTAGATCTACCCTCTTAGCAAATTTTAAATATACACCACAGTATTGTTAGCTAGAGACAGTATGCTGTATAGATTTCCAGAATTATCTATATCAATAAAATTTAACAATACTAATTCTTTCTTTTAAAGATTTTATTTATTTAATTGAGAGAGAGAGAACATGAGAGGGGAGAGGGTCAGAGGGAGAAGGAGACTCCCTGCTGAGCCGGGAGCCCAACGCAGGACTTGATCCTGGGACTCTGGGATCATGACCTGAGCCGAAGGCAGTCGTTTAACCAACTGAGCCACCCAGGCACCCTAACAATGTTAATTCTTGATCATGTATCTTGCATAACTGTAACTTTGTACCCTTGACCATCACCTTCCTCTTTCCCCCTCCCCAAGCCCCTGGCAACCACTATTTTACTCTTTGCATCTATGATCTTGACTATTTTGGATTCCACATTAAGTAAGAGAATATTTGTCCTTCTCTATCTGGCTTATTTCACTTACCGTAATGTCCTCCAGGTTTTTCAATGTTGTCACAAATGGCAGGATTTCCTTCTTTTTAAAGGATGAATAAATTCCATTGTATGTTTGCACCACACTGTACATCCCTCCGTACTGTTTTCCATAGAGGCTGCACCAATTTACATTTCCACCAGCAGTACACAAAGATTTCCTCTTCTCCACATCTTCACCAACACTTGTTATATTTCCTTTTTTCTTTTAATAATAGCCACTCTGACAGATGTGAGGTCATATCTCATCGTGGGTTTTTTTTTTTAAAGATTTTATTTATTTATTTGAGAGAGAGAGAACACATGAGAGGGGATAGGGTCAGAGGACGAAGCAGACTCCCTGCTGAGCAGGGAGCCCGATGCGGGACTCAATCCCGGGACTCCAGGATCATGACCTGAGCCGAAGGCAGTCGCTTAACCAACTGAGCCACCCAGGCGCCCCTCGTTGTGGGTTTTTTTTTTTTTTAAGATTTTATTTATTTATTTGAGACAGAGAGAATGAGAGAGAGAGAGAGCACATGAGAGGGGGGAGGGTCAGAGGGAGAAGCAGGCTCCTTGCTGAGCAGGGAGCCTGATGCGGGACTCGATCCAGGGACTCCAGGATCATGACCTGAGCCGAAGGCAGTCGCTTAACCAACTGAGTCACCCAGGCGCCCTCTCATTGTGTTTTGGTTTGCATTCCTCTGATGATTAGTGTTGTTGAGCACGTTTTCATGTACCTATTGGTCATTTGTATGCCTTCTTTGAGAAATGTCTATTCAGGACCTTTGTCCATTTTTAAATTAAATATATAATGATTTGAGCTATTAAAAATTATAGGAGTTCCTTATTGTTTTGGATATTAACCCTTTATTGCATATATGGTTTACATTTTTTTTCCTAATCTCTAGGTTGCCTTTTCATTGTTTCTTTCACTATGAAGAAGATTTTGAGTTTGAATTAGGCTCACTTGTTTATTTTTGCTTTTGTTGCTTGTGCTTTTGGTGTCATATCCTAGAAATCATTGCCAAGACCAACACCAAGATGTTTCTGTTTTCTTCTAGGGGTTTTGTAGTTTTAAGCCTTATGTTTAATTTTTTTTTTAATATTTTATTTATTTATTTGACAGAGAGAGAATGAGAGAGCACATGAGAGGGGGGAGGATCAGAGGGAGAAGCAGACTCCCCGCCGAGCAGGGAGCCTGATGCGGGACTCGATCCCGGGACTCCAGGATCATGACCTGAGCCGAAGGCAGTCGCTTAACCAACTGAGCCACCCAGGCGCCCCGCCTTATGTTTAATTTTTTAACCCATTTTGAGTTGATTTTTGTGTATGGTATAAGGGGTCCAATTTAATTCTTTTGCGTATGGATATCCTATTTTTCCAGCATTATTTATCTAAGAAACTATCCTTCCCCATTATGTAGTCTTAGCTCCCTTGTTGAAGATTGTTTGACTGTATATGTGTGGGTTTATTTCTGGGCACTCTATTCTGTTCCATTGATCTATGTGTCTGTTTTTATCCCAGGATCATACTGTTTGATTACTATGGCTTTGTCATATAATTTGAAGTCAGGAAGTGTGATGCCTCCAACTTTATTCTTCTTGCTCAAGATTGCTTATTCCAAGTCTTCTGTGCTTCCATCTGAATTTTAGGATTTTTTTTTCTATTTCTGTGAGAAATGCCACTGGAACATGATAGGGATTGCATCAAATTTGTCGATCACTTTTGGTAGTATAGACATTTTAACAATATTCTCCCAAACCACGAACACGAGCTGTCCCTCCATTTATTTTTGTGTCTTCTGCTCTTTCTTTCATCAAGTATAATTCATGCACCTCCTTGGTTAAATTTGTTCCTAAGTTTGTATTGGTTTTGATGCTATTGTGAATGAGACTGTTTTCTTAATTTGTTTTTCAGTTTGTTGTTAGCGTACAGAAACACAATTGAGTTTGTATCCTGCAACTTCACTAAATCCGTTTATTCCACGTTTTTTGGTGGAGACTGTAGGGTTTTTCCTATATATAAGACTCTGCCTTCTTTAATAGTTATGGTCGCTTGCCTTTTTCTCCATAATGAGAAAAGTAAGTTACAGAGGCTCTAATAGGCAATGCTCTCTCAGGGGAATCCTCAGTTACCAGCAGCCTGCACCTGCGCACTCCTGGGGGGCTGGAACTCCCACAAACCACTGGGCTGAGCTCCGTTAGGGGCGGGCCCAAGTTGCATGCCGGGAACAATCTGAGCCGCAGAACTCTAGGCTTCCGAGGCATTTCCTCTTTGAGACTGCATTTCCCAGGAGCCACCACGCCGAATTAGCCGCCACTTCCGGCATCCGAGGGTCGGTGTCCTGGTGGGGTGAGGCCCTGAGGTCGAGGAAGAACTCCGTGGCTGCCAGAGGCCTCTACTGAGCAGGACCCCAGCCGGAGGGACCCGCCAGTGTGGGTGGGCAGAGAGAGGCGCTCAGGACAGGGCCCTGACAGGCACCCCAAGGAGTTTCGCCAGAGCGCGCGCGCGCAGCGAGGAGGGGGATTGTGCGACCGCGAGTGGCGGACGTGGAGTGTGGGGGGTGTGCGTGAGGGCGCGCCTGGTGCAGCGACCCTGCGGTGACGGGGACGGGGGTGTGTGGGCGCTGAGCGCGGTTTGCTGTGGCTGTGTGTGTGTGTGTGTGTCACGGGGGCCTGTGACCCGCCTCTTCGTCCGTCTTCTCTCCTCCCAACCACGTGGCTGCAGCAAACCAATGGCCCCAGTAGGGAGGCCAGATACTGAGCCTAGAATGAAAGTTCCCCCCGGAAAGCCCGGGCCTGGACTTGGCATGGGAGTTTCAGAGCCGCAAGTGCCTGTCTGGGGCCCCCACGGGGGCAGCTACATGTTCAGAACTACCGCATTCTCAGAGTCCTGTCCCCAGGAACCAGCTTCGAACTCGGGGACCGATTCCTCCTTTTACTCCCATCCCATTTTGTGCGAAGTAAGGGAGGTGTGGCCCTGGAGGGTGCTTTCAAATTTAGTCTGCGCTCCAAGAAAAGCCTGGGGTCTCATGCGCGCCTTCTCCTTCCCCAGTCGTACCATTATCCAAAAGGACCCTGGGAAGGATGAGAGTATTATTGCTGCACGTCTAAAGTCAAGGGTGAGTTCCTGCTTTGTTTTGCATAAGAAATGCGTTTTTGTTTTTAGAATATAGAGGTTCCAGTAAATTTTCCGGAAATGTAGGGAGACGTGCAAATTGATACCCCACCATTTGGTCCCCCATTGCCCCTCACCTCTTCACTTAATATTGACTTGGTAAATAATTTTGTAAATACCAAAAGCAGTTTAGTAAATTGTTCATATCTTCTTGAGCACTCCCTTTTTCTAAGATGACATGGAAATAAAACTCCAGTGATTAATGCTAAAGCTTTATTTTAGACTCTGATTTGGTAAGAAGGAAATTAGTGTTTAGGTGGAATCACACACTGGATATCTTTTGATCTTTAAGGGCCTGCTTTCCAAAGCAAGGGAAGAAGGGAGATGGTTAGCTGATTTTAGTCAGTCTGAGGCTTTCAGAAATGGGAAAGTGATGGCAACAGAAGTTGGTATCAGTAAGAGCCAGGATTTTTCCAGGGCGTTCCATCAGTTGAAATTTGTATTATTGGCCACGTCTGTTTGAAGTTTGGCAGCTCGAGCTGTGTGTTGGGCTTCCTTTTGTGTGGACTGAGAATCAGTATAGTGTGGTTGAGATTAGGGGCTGTGGATCCGGATGGAATATTGGCTCTCTGGCTGTCTCAGGTTTGTAATGAACGTCAGATGAGTTAATATGTATAAAGCCCCTTAGAGCAGTGCCAGGCATATAGTAAATATAGTAAATGCTTGATATGTTTAGCTGTTGTTTATGTGTGTTTTAGCTCATTCCTCTCAATTTCTATACAGCAGGGGCATTAGGAATATGTGATCCATGGTGATTGCTGCCTGCATATTAAGAAAACAAGTGAGATGCTCAAGCGATATAGATTCTTGGGCTGCCAGGGTGGCTCAGTTGGTTAAGCATCCGACTCCTGATTTCAGCTCAGGCCATGGTCTCAGGGTTGTGCGATCAAACCCCGTGTGGGGCTCTGTGCTGGTCATTGAACCTGCTTAAGATTCTCTCCCTCTGCCCCTCCATCCCCCTCTCTCTCCCTCCAAAAAAAAGGGAATAAAAATGCTTAACCTGAGTTGCTATGATGCCATTTATGGTCTCAGAGGACCACAAATCCCTTGAAATAGTATACCAAAGTGTTATGGTGGAGTTTATGGGGAAAGTGTATAATTTCATGAGATTATTCAAAGTGTGCATGACCTAGAAGGCTTGGATTCATCAGTGCAGATCAGTAGTTCTTTTTTTTTTTTTTAAAGATTTTATTTATTTATTTATTTGAGAGAGAGAATGAGAGACAGAGAGCACGAGAGGGAAGAGGGTCAGAGGGAGAAGCAGACCCCCTGCTGAGCAGGGAGCCCGATGTGGGACTCGATCCCGGGACTCCAGGATCACGACCTGAGCCGAAGGCAGTCGCTTAACCAACTGAGCCACCCAGGCGCCCCAGATCAGTAGTTCTTAACAGGGGGTGATTTCGCCCACCAGGGGATGTTTGGTAATATTTAGAGGCAACTTTGGTTGCCACAATGGGGGGCAGTGATACCTGGATCTAATAAGTAGAGGACAAAGATGCTACTAAACATTCTGCAGTGTACAGGATAGCCCTCCCCACCGTTCTACCCCCCCAACAAAGAATTATCTGGCTCAATATGGCATTCATGCTGAGGATGAGAAGCCCTAGTCTAGCATTAAAAGACTGATACTTGGAGTGATATTTAAAATGATCTTGTACAAATTGAGTAGTTAAGCAAATCACACTAGACTCATGTGATAGGGTATTATGCACTTAAGAAAATTATGTTCATAAATAATCATGAAAAGAGAAAACATTTGATCTCGTGTTAAGCAGTATTCATGTTAGGAACGGTAGTACCCAAGATGTTGTATATGAATCGCATTTACTAAGGGAGGGCAATCTATAAGGATTCTCTCCAAAATTATGTTTTCATAGTTTTTTAATGAGGAAGAGAACCGAGCATGGTACTGTGTATATCCCATGCATTTTCTTACTCAGTCTGCAGGTGCCACTTACCTGCATTATGTTCTTTAGGGGAAGAATCTTGAACATGAAAATTTCTAATTATATTGGTGAGATACAGCTAAAGGATGTTAGAACTGGTTGCTGTTACTTGTTATAGTCACATTGATATCTTTGTTGACTCTCATGACAAGCTCGGTTCTTTAATGGTTGGAAGTACCCTCTTCCTGATAGCTCTGTTTTTATTTTTATTTTAATTTGGAAGTAACTGTATTGTGGGGTTTTGTTTGTTTGTTTTGGGGTTTTTTGTTTGGGTTTTTTTGTTTGTTTTGTTTTTTATTTAGAGAGAGTGTGTGAGCAAGGGGAGGGAGGGACAGAGAGAGAGAAAATCTTAAGCAGGCTCCATGCTCAGTGTGGAGCCCGATGCGGGGCTTGATATCACAACCCTGAGATCATGACCTGAGCCGAAATCAAGACCTGGACACTTAACTGACTGAGCCACCCAGGCGTCCCTTTATTGTGTATTTTTGATGATGGAATAGTGTGAAACTATTCTTTTTAAGGAACTTAAGAAGAAAGTTAAAATTATAGTACCACCCTCTAGAAGTAGTCATTATTGATGCTTTGGTTTATATTTTTCCAATTATTTTTTCTGTGTGAATACAAGAGTTTTGTTTCTGTAGAATAGAATCAGAATCAGTTCGAAAAACAAATCTAATCAAGTCATCGTTTTCATTCATTTCTGGGTCTGTGAGAGAGAGCATAATACCATCGCCTCTCCCTCTGAGGCTTCTGTGCTGAAAGGCTCCTTTTCTCCTTGTCTCTATGATAGCCCTCTTTGCTAATGTGATTCTTTAAGAATTGCATTCGCCAGGCTAAGCTCTGAATATTTTTGGTTAGCATTGTAAGAAAGAGCAGGCCTTACACTATATTTTATTATATGACTTACACAAGAAAAAGGGAAACAGTGAAGTTTCTTTAACAAGTGTAATCTTCTTTAGCCTCAGCAATAATGATGACACATATTAACTGCTAATATTAAGCAGTTAATATGTCATGTGTCATTATGTATGTGTTATTATGTACTTCCATTGAATTTTCTTAGTATTCTTTTAGGTTTCTTACTTCTCCAGCACAGAAGGTGAAGTCTGAACAAGAATAAGTGTATAGCAGAGGATGACAGAGCCTATCAGAAAAAGTCATCTACCGTACTTTGAGAGTTTACAGGAAATATGCTTCTTTTGGCCTATAGAGTCACCACACTTTGACCAAATTATAAGCCCATGGGATTTCTATAGAGTTAAAGAAACTCTGTTGGAAATTCTAAATCTGTTAAATGCAAAATGACTAATAGCAGAAGACGATACAGTGGCAGTTTAGGGAATACTGTGGCTGAAATAATAGGTTTAGAAGAGGACGTGTGAGACTATCAAATGTATATAAGACATTGCTCAGGGCCTGCAGACATTTTTTGTAGAAATTATTGTAACCTGCTCAGATAAACATAGACCTCTTAGTGTTGGCTCAAGAATTGGGAAATGAAACAAACCTGTTAAGTAAAAATAAGAGCTTATTAGAATATCCTGAGTTTTTCCACATTAATAGGGAAGTTGTCTAAGTAAAAGGTTGCCTTTCATCTGATTTGGAGAACAGCTTCCTCGTAGGAAAAAAAATATATATATATAAACATACATATATGCATGCGTTTATGAATATAACTGTGTATGTATTCCAAGTTAACGCCTTGCCATACAATTATGAAGCACTCTTAAGCAAAAAGTAGAGAATTAGGGCCACAATACAGTGACAAATACTGTTAACATGACGTATAATTTTCTAGAATTTTTTTTTTGTCAGTGTCTGTTAGTCTTTATATATATACACATATATTTTATAGATGTAATCATATTCTGCATCCTATTTTGTAACCTGAGTTTTCTGCTGACCATGTATCTTGAACGTGTAATGACCACTTAGTATCCCATGACGTGGATGCCCTGCCATATTTAACCAGTTGGCTTCGGTGGACTTAGAAAGCCAAATGCTGCCTGAGCAATCCCATCTACATCCTTCCCAGTTTTCATGCCTTGCCCCACTTCTCCCAATCCTGAGTTCACAAAGAGGTTCTGATTTGGATGATGTGACCCCTTCTCAGCCCTGAAAGGTGGGACGGGGGCAGGAGGATCTGCACAGAGCAGGATGGGGAGCCCAGTCCTAGGCTTAGTCATGCTTCCCAAGAATGGAGGATCCCTCATGCTCCCTCATATTTTGGAGGACAGGTTCCCCAGGCCTTGGGGGAGAGCTTGATTTTTTGTCCAGGCTCCTCATGTTTGATGCCAATTTGTATGGGGGTGGGGTGGGAGGAGAGGTGGAGGGACAAAGGGAAAGGGAGATTGTGTGAAGCAGAGAGGGATAGAAAAGGAATTTTAGGGAGTAGTTGGGACATAGAAATGGAAGAAAAAATTGTTGTATTAATTTGAGTCCCTTAGAGAGCACCAAGGCACAGCTTGGCTTAAGCCCTTCTTTTTTTTTTTTTTTCTATCTAGGAGGGGAAGCACGAGGAAGATGGATCAATTTTGTCATTCTAAAAACATGGCCTATGTAAGTTGGTATTTCTTCCCCTGAAATATGATGACTTCACATTTTTTTTTTTAGCCATTCTTTGCCATGCGGGGATCAGTAGGTTATCCCACAGCACACAGCAAGTTTGCTGTGCAGTGGCAAGATTCTTCTAGAACTTGCAGGCACCCTACGAAGCACCATATTGCTCCTGTCCTGCAGTGCGGTTCTTCGCCTTCTCTCTGTTCACCTTCAAGTAATTTCCTTCATTGTCATGGTAATGCATGTGTGTGTGGTTTCAGGGATCTCTGTCATTCGGGGACGTGGCCATCAGCTTCTCCCAGGGGGAGTGGGAGTGCCTGGACCCTGCTCAGAGGGCCTTGTACAGGGACGTGATGTTGGAGACCTACAGCAACCTGGTCTCTCTGGGTAAGACTATCTCCCCCAATAGTAGTTCATTCTAAAGATTAATTAAAATTACAATAAAGGGGTGCCTAGGTGGCTCAGTCAGTCAAGCGTCTGCCTTTGGTTGAGGTCATGATCCTGGGGTCCTGGGATCAAGCCCCGCCTCAGGCTCCCTGCTCATCGGGGAGCCTGCTTCTCCCCCGCCCCATTCATGCTCTTGCTCTCTCTGTCTCTTTCTCAAATAAATAAATAAATACAATCTTTAATTAATATATACAATAAAATTGGTATTGAACAGTTATAATTAATTTAAATTTTAATTTAATTTCATAATTTAACTTAAAATAATTTAAAACAATAGTTTAATAAATTAATAGTGTCTCTTCTCTGGAATATTAGCTTTCTTCACTATGAGTTTCAGGGCTTTTAAGAAATAGCTGAGTTTCTTCTTGTTCCCAAAGGAAATCGTTTGGAATTTGTCAGGTTGAAGACGGGCATGTCTGTTTTTACAAATTTAGGGGCGCCTGGGCGGCTCAATTGGTTAAGCATTTGACTCTTGATGTCATCTCAGGTCATGATCTCAGGGTCATGAGATCGAGCCCCGCGTTGGGCTCCACACTGGGTGTGGAGTCTGCTTGAGATTCTCTCTCCCTCTCCTCCGTCCCCTCTAAAAAAATATTACTACAAATTTAAGCAGATCTCAGCCATTTTGTGGGGGGTTTTTTGTATATTTAAAAAAATTTTTTTCTACACCACTTGTCATTTCTTTTTTTTGTTTGTTTGTTTTTTATCTTTTAACGTTATATTCATATAAAACAATTTCAGTTCAAGTATTTCAAACTTGGTTTCTTAATATTTCTCCACAGAAAGCCTAGAGCCTTGGAAAAATACATTTAAGATCGAAGGATAGCTAACACTTACACTGAGAGCTATGTGCTATGCACTGTTCCAAGTGGTTTACATGTACTTACTCACTTAAATATCTTCTCACTACCTGATAGGGTAGAACTAGCATTAACTCCAATTTACGCATGAAGACAACTGAGATGTAGAGAAGTTAAATAACTTATCCAAGATCACATGGCTAATAAGGAGCAGAGCCAGGATTTGAACCCAAGTAAACTGGCTCTGGAGTTATATTTTCTGTTGTTACTGTGGCCTTATCAAACTATAATGTGTTACTTACCTCACATTTAAAAAGTCACTATTACCTAGTATGCGGCAATAAAAATCATTAAAACTTTTTTTATTTACATTTGCATTTTATAAGCAGCTGATTAACATAAATTGAAATGTGATGAAATGAGTTTGCAGCTCTAATCGCCATTTATATACTCCAATATATTTAAATTAAATTAATGTGCTAATGTACAACTATTTCCCCTTAATTTATAGCAGCATATTTTCTTTCAAGGCATTATTTATGTTTTTAAACACATTATAGAAATTAAATGACTTAAAGGATATACAGAAAGAAAACAACTGGAAATAAACTCAGATGTACATATTCAGAAAAAGATACTGAAGTTAATAATATGTGTCTTAAAAATCAATACAGCGTCCTTTTCATTCCCAATCTGTATATCGGGTAGGTTCTGGGCCTCTAGGTCCACCTTTTTCTTTGGTAACAGGATTAATATCATCTGGAAATTTTGTCAGTGGTTCTTTCTCTAAGAATCTTCGGGTGCATCAAAATGACCTTCTGGTAACTTTGGCTTCTTAAGAGATTGTTTGATGGGTTTGGATTTTTCTCCTAGAGAACTCATTTTCCTCACAGAATGACATAAAAGGGGTGATCTAGCCGCTCTCCACGCGGTGGCTGGGACACAGCCAAGCAACCAAGCCAGCCTTGACACAGACATGGTGCCAAATCCCACAGCGTCCTCATGTGCCCAGCAGGGAGAGGCGAGTAGTCAGTGGCACCGACCGGGGCCCACCCTCTCTTTTTTTTTGTTTTTAAGCAGGAAGTTCCATTTCTAAGCCAGATGTGATTACCTTATTGGAGCAAGAGAAAGAGCCCTGGGTGGTTGTGAGGAGAGAAACAAGCAGATGGTATCCAGGTGAGTAGGGGAGAAGCCGGCAGAGGGGGTCAGAGAGGGGTCATACCCTTGAGATGTGGCTTGGGAAAATGCCTTCAAAGACCCAAGACCTGTTGGATAAAAATACCTGAGATCTGAGAAGGAAATAAGGATCACACAGTGTGGGCTTTCAAAGGAACTCCATCTTTTGCTAATCATCTCTAATTTTTGTTCTTTTATTTCCTCTCCTTTAGTGGAGTGAGTGCCCTCTTTCCCAGTGTAACCTTTTTTTTTTTTTTTAAGATTTTATTTATTTATTAGCGCGTGCCCATGAGCAGGGGCAGAGGGAGAGGGAGAGCGAGAACCCCAAGCAGACTTGCGCGCTGAGCGTGGAGCCCATCATGGGGCTTGATCCCATGATGCTGAGACCATGACCTGAGCTGAAATCAAGAGTCAGACACTTAACTGACTGAGCCACCCAGGCTCTCCCCTCCCCCAGTGTAACCTTTTAACATATATTTTGCATCCAGCTGCTTTCCAGCTCTGCTTTTGCATTTACATTTCTATATGTGTTTCCAGTATCTAAAAAATGTTTTCATATATTCAGCAAATATTTATCGAGGGTCCACTCCAAGCAAAGCATTGTGCTTGGCACTGTCTGTACAATGAAATGAACATGACTGATAGAGTCGTGCTCTCACGGACTTTACCTGCAGTTGGCAAGACATGGATCAATCAAGTAAGCAGATGAGTAAAGCAGTACTGTCAGGAATGATGCTGTGCAGACAAGTATATAGGAGCAATGCAGTGAGAATGACAGGCTTGGATGGTTAGGGAGCATGTCTTGAAGTGGGCATGCTTGCACAGTCGTGAAGGGTTAAGACTGCAAGAGCAGTCTAGTCTGAGCGGGACACACAGAGGCCCTGAGCGGGAAATGGTTTCTGTATGCCAGGGAGCAATAAGAAGTTTCGAGCAGAAGAGGTGAAGGGATGGTGGGAAAGGAGGTTAGGGAGTTAGGCCAGGACCAGATCCTACAAGGTTCTGATCATCACTGTGAAGAACATAGAATGTTTTCCAAGAGTTACTTAGAGCCATGTTCTGATCTATGTTAAAAGTGTTCATTTCTTCGTTTTCAAACAAACTAAGTATGACAAGAATACAGAAAGCCACATAACACAAAGAGCTGCATGATTAAGTATTTTAAGGTACCCACAGCTTTAACTACCAGGTTGTGAGTTAGGATTTTGCCAGCTGTCCCGGAAGCCTATTGTGGTCTCTTTGCAGGAAAGGTTTTTCTCTAGAGCTTTATTGTCTGAGTGAACTTCTCCAGTTTGGTTTTGTTTTCCCTGTCATTTTAAAAAGTCTTTTAAGTCTCTTTTAGATTAAAGGTTCCTCTTGATTTTTTTTTTTTAAAGCTTTTATTTATTTATTTGACCAAGAGAGACACAGTGAAAGAGGGAACACAAGCAGGAGGAGTGGGAGTGGGAGAAGCAGGCTTCCCGCTGAGCAGGGAGCCTGATGTGGGGCTCGATCCCAGGACCCTGGAATCATGACCTGAGCCGAAGGCAGTCTCTTACCGACTGAGCCACCCAGGCATGCTTGATTTTTTTGTTAACAGGTTTTTCTTGATTAAATTAGATCATTTGTCACGTAGTTTCACACCATCTGGATTTTGCTGATGGCATCTTGGTGGTATGGAGGAACATGTCCCTCTATTTCCTGTAAAATGATAGTTGGGTCTAGAAGGTTAATCAGACTTTTGGGAAACTTTCTTTCCCTAGGTGATGATGATATTCTTCAGTCCACTGGCATGTGATATCTGGATTTCTCATTTTAGTAATATCTGCAGCCACTGACAGGCAGTTACTATGTCCCTTAATTTGTTAGAGGTTGTAAATTGGTGGATATTCGAATTCCGTCTGGAATGCATCTGTAAAAAGAAACTTCACGTTAACTGTTACTCAGTTATACAGATCATTTGGAAAATTGAAGATAAATATTCTTTTCCTTGGTTTACTAATTTTCTGAATAATGAGTTGGTTTCTAACATCCTTTCAAAGGTGACCCATTTTGGGGGCACCTGGGTGGCCGTCGGTTAAGCGGCTGACTCTTGGTTTTGGCTTGGGTCATGATCTCAGGGTCCTGGGATCGTGCCCCGAGTTGGGCTCCCTGCTTAGTGGGGAGACTGCTTCTCCCTCTGCCCCTGCCCCCCGCTTATTTTCTCTCTCTCTCTCTCAAATAAATGAGTAAAATCTTTAAAAAACAAAAAAGAAAACTAGATCCACCAGTTGTGAACATTTGGCCACCTTTGCTATATGTATTTATGTATCTAAATGTTTGAAACCTTTTTTGCTGGACCACGTGTGGGTCTAAGTCACTGATGTTGTGACATGTGTTACCTAAACATTTCACTTTGCATCTTCTAAGAATAGGAAAGGTCCTAATAACCTTTCATTGTTCCTAATTAGCCTCATTATCTTAACCCAAATAACATCGTCACACCTCAGAAAATCACCATATTTCAGGAGTATCGTCTACAATATAGTTCACAGTTAAATTTCTCCCATTTCTCTTTAAAAATTTTATTGTTTGTTTGGTTTTGTGGGAGTGTTTTTCAGTTTAAGATCCAGTCCAAGTTCATGAATTGATTTATGGATAGGTTTCTTTTTAAAACATTTTAATTTATTTTTACTATTTCTTTTTATTAGTAGGTTTCTTTAGTCTCTTTTTATCTAAAGAGCTTTTGTGCCTTAAAATTTATTTTAACTAAATTTTTATTTTTTTTACTTTGGCTTTTCTCTCTCTCTCTCCCTTTTTTTTTGAGTCTAAGTCCAGGCTAGTTTACTTAAACCATGACATTCTGAATTTATGTGATTAAAATTTTTTCTCATGATTTGGTTTTGAAAGCTCCACAATAGATTCTAGTAGCATCATGTGAAGAATCACATAATGTCATATCTCTGTATAGATTACTGTGATTTTGGTCAACCAAGTATGGCTTTCCATTTCCAAAGAAATGAATAATCTCTGATATTGAGTTTTAGCATGATTTTATTATGGCCAGAGAATATATTGATATATCATTATATATATCATGATATATATAATGTGATATGATCATATATATATCATATATAATATAAATGATTTCACTCCTTTGGAGTATGTTGAGAGTGCTTTATTTTATTTTATTTTTTTGTATTTATTTATTATTATTATTTTTAAAGATTTTATTTATTTATTTGAGACAGAGAGAATGAGAGAGACAGAGAGCTCATGAGAGGGGATAGGGTCAGAGGACGAAGCAGACTCCCTGCCGAGCAGGGAGCCCGATGCGGGACTCGATCCCGGGACTCCAGGATCATGACCTGAGCCGAAGGCAGTCGCTTAACCAACTGAGCCACCCAGGCGCCCGAGAGTGCTTTATTTTATAGCCCAGCATATGGTCAGTTTTTATAAATGTTCTGTATGAATGAAAAAGGAACGTGTGGGGCCCTTGGGTGGCCCAGGCGGTTAAGTGTCTGCCTTCGGCTCAGGTCATGATCCCAGGGTCCAGGGATCGAGCCCCATGTTGGGCTCCCTGCTCAGTGGGGAGTCTGCTTCTCCCTCTGCCCCTCCCCCTGCTCGTGCTTTCTCTCTCTCTCTCATTCTCTCTTGCTCTGACTCTCTCTCAAATAAATAAAGTCTTTAAAAAAAAAAAAATGTAACCCTCAGTCACACTCTCCAGTAATTCCCACCTGACCACTTTACACATACACATATAGCTGTTTATGTTGTTGTTTCTGTTGTGCTCACACAGATCATATTGAAATTGCTGTTTTAGGGCGCCTGGGTGGCTCAGATGGTTAAGCGTCTGCCTTCGGCTCAGGTCATGATCCCAGGGTCCTGGGATTGAGTCCCGCGTCGGGCTCTCTGCTCGTTGGGAGCCTGCTTCTCCCTCTGCCTCGCTCTCTCTCTGTCTCTCATGAATAAATAAATAAAATCTTAAAAAAAAAAAAAAAAAGAAATTGCTGTTTTACTGCCTGCCTTTGTCGGTCAGTGGTTATCACCTAGCACTATCTAGTTTCCTCTGTGCTGTAGCTGTCTTATGTCTATGCTAGAGCAGCATTACATCTACAGACATCAGAAATGCAATGATACGGGGCACGTGGGTGGCTCAGTCGGTTAAGCAGCTGCCTTCGGCTCAGGTCATGGTTCCAGGGTCCTGGGATCGAGCCCCACATCGGGCTCCCTGCTCGGCAGGAAGCCTGCTTCTCCCTCTCCAACTCCCCCTGCTTGTGTTCCCTCTCTCGCTGTCTCTGTCAATTAAATAAATAAATAAAATCTTCAAAAAAAAAAATGCAATGATACGATTCTTCTTCCAGCCGTCAAATGGGTTCTAAAGAACTCGAGAGGAAAAGATGGTCTATTGTATTGATATTACCATTTCTTTTACTCTTACTTCATTCCTGATGCCCAGATTTTTTTTTTTTTCTTCACTTTGTTCTAGAGAACTTTACCAGGTCTTTTACTTTTTTTTTTTTTTTTTAGAGAGAGAGGCGGGGAGGGGCAGAGGGAGAGGGAGAGAGACAGAGAGAGAATCTTAAGCAGGCTCCAGAGCCTGACCCAGGCTCAGTCTCACGACTCTGAGATCATGACCTGAGACAAAATCAAGAGTGGGACGCTTAACTGACTGAGCTACCCTTGCTCCCCTTTATCAGGTCTTTTAGACTCAGTCTGCTGGGGACAAATTCTTGTAGTTTTCTGTCATTTAAAAATGTCTTTATCTCGTCTTTATTTTGGAATCATATTTTATCAGGATAGAGAATTCATGGCTGGATTTTTCTTTTGGTACTTTAAAACATTGTGCTACTTCCTTCTCATTGAAGCCTGTAGTCATGGAATCGTTGTTCAGGAATTGTACAGGCAATGTGCCGTGGTGGTGGTTTTTAGGTGTTTTCAAGTAAATTTTCATTTGTTATTTGTTTTTAGCAGTTGATTATGATAAGTTCAGGTGTGGAATTTTGTTAGGGGCTCTGAGATTTTTGAGTCTGTAGGTTTATGAATTTTGCCACATTTGGGAAGGTTTCGCCCTTTTTTCTGCAGTATTTTTTCAGCTGTGCACACTTTTCCTCTCCTGGGACTCTGGCAATATGAATGTCAGGACTTTTAGCATTGTCCTCCTGCTCCTTGTTGCTGTGCTTCTTTGGTTTTTATTCTTTTTTCTTTCTCTTGTTCAGATTGGATGAATCTTTTGTTCTATCTTAAGTTTTTTGATTCTTTCCTCTGCCTTTTCCATTGTGCTACGGGACCCCACAATATTTTAATTTTAATTATTATAGTTTACAGTTCTAAGTTTTACTTGGTTCTTCTTTATATCCTCTGTATATTTCTCTTTCTCTTTTTTAAAGTATAATTAACATACAGTGTTGTATTAGCTTCAGGTGTACAATATAGTGATGCCACAATGCTGTACATCACCCAGCACATCACAGTAAGTGTACTCTTGATCCTCTTCACCTGTTTCACCCATCTCCCCACCCACACCTCCCCTCTGGTAACCACCAGTTTGTTCTCTGTATTTAAGAGTCTGGTTTTTTTGTTTGGCTCTTTTCTTCTCTGTTCATTGTTTTGTCTCTTAAATTCCACATATGAATGAAATCATATGATATTTGTGATATGATCATATATATATCATATATAATATAAATGATTTCACTCCTTTGGAGTATGTTGAGAGTGCTTTATTTTATAGAAATTATTTATAGAAATAAGAAGGACTTATTGCACTTAGCATTATACCCTCTAGCTCCATCCATGTTGTTGCAAATGGCAGGATTGCACTCTTTCTTATGGTAGAGTAATAGTCCAGGGTATCTAGGGACGCCTGAGTGGCTCAGTCGTTAAACTTTACCTTTGGCTCTGGTCATGATCTCAGGGTCCTGGGATTGAGCCCCTCATCAGACTCCCTGCTCGGCGGAGAGCCTGCTTCTTCCTCTCCCCCTCCATTTGTGCTCTCTCTCGCACTCTCTCTCTCAAATCTTTAAAAAAAAACAGTCTGGTGTATCTATAAACCACATCTTCTTTACCCATTCATCTGTGGATGGGCACTTGGGTTGCTTCCATGTTTTGGCTATTGTAAATAGCACTACGGTAAACATAGGGGAGCATATATCTTTTCAAGCTAGTGTTTTCATATTCTTTGGGTAAATACCCAGTAGTGGAATTGCTGGACCCTATGGTAATTCTATTTTTAATTTTTTGAGGAACCTCCATACTGTTTTCCACAGTAGCTGCACCAGTTTGTGCACGAGGGTCCCTTTTTGTTCACATCCTCGCCAACACTTGTTATTTTTTGTGTTTTTTTATTTCGGCCCTGATAACAGGTGTAAGGTGATACCTCATTGTGGTTTTGATTTACGTTTTTCTGATGAGAGTGAGGTTGAGCATCTTTTCATGTGTCTGTTGGCCATCTGTATATCTTCTTGGGAATAATGTCTATTCAGGTACTCTGCCCACTCTTTAATTACATTATTTGTCTTTTTGGTGTTGAGTCATATAAGTTCTTTATGGATATTAGCCCCATATCGGATATATCATTTGCAAATACGTTTCTAGGAATTTATTTCTTCTGGGTTTTCCATTTGTTGGCATATAATTTTTCATAGTATTCTTTTATACTTCTGTGGTGTTCGGTGTTATGTCTCCTCCTTTATTTCTGATTTTATTTATTGGAGCCCTGTCTCTTGTTTTTCTGGATCAGTCTGGCTACAGGTTTATCAATTTTGTTTCAAAGAACCAGCTCCTGGTTTCATTGATCATTAGTCTCTATTTCATTTATTTCTGTTCTAATCTTTATTATTTCCTTCTTTCTGCTGGCTTTGGGTTTTGTGGGTTCTTCTTTTTTTGGCTCCTTTAGGTTTAAGGTTAGGTGGTTTATTTGAGATTTTTCTTTTTTCTGGAGGTAGGCCTGTATTGCTATTATCTTGCCTCTTAGAACAGCTTTTACTCCATCCCAAAGATTTTGGACCATTGTGTTTTCATTTTCATTTGTCTCCATGTATTTTTTATTTCCTCTTTGATTTCTTAGTTCACCCATTCATTGTTTAGTAGCATGTTATTTGGCCTCCATGTATTTATGTTCTTTCCAGATTTTTTCTTGCACTTGATTTCCAGTTTCATACCATTGCAGTCTGAAAAGATGCATGTGATTTCAGTTTTTTTGTATTGAGATTTGTTTTGTGGCCTAACATGTGATCTGTTCTGGAGAATGTTCCATGTGCACTTGAATGTGTATTCTGCTGTATTTGGATGGAATGTTCTGAATATCTGTTAGGTCCATCTGGTCCAATGTGTCATTCAAAGCCACTGTTTCCTTGGGTTGATTTTCTGCCTGAATGATCTATCCATTGATTTAATGGGGTGTTAACGTCCCCTTCTATTATTCTATTACTGTCAGTTTCTTCCTTTATGTCTGTTAATAGTGGCTTTATGTATTTAGGTGCTCCTATGCTGGGTGCATAAATATTTACAGTTGTTAAATCCTGTTGTTGGATTGTTCCCTTTATCATTATGTAATGTCATTCTTTGTTTCTTGTTACAAACTTTATGTTAAAGTGTATTTTGTCCAATATAAGTATTGCTACCACAGCTTTCTTTTCACTTCTGTTTGCATGGTAGATGTTTTTCCATCCCTTCACTTTCAGTCTGCATGTGTCTTTATGCCTTATGTGTTTCTTGTAGGCAGCATATAGATGGATCTTGCTTCCTTATCCATTCAGTCATCATAGTCTTCTGATGGGAGCATTTAGGCGATTTACATTTAAAGTAATTATTATTTTTTTTTTTTTAAAGATTTTTTTATTTATTTATTTGAGAGAGAGAGAGAGAGAGAATGAGAGAGAGAGAGAGCATGAGGGTGGGAGGGTCAGAGGGAGAAGCAGACTCCCTGCCGAGCAGGGAGCCCGACGTGGGACTCGATCCCGGGACTCCAGGATCATGACCTGAGCCGAAGGCAGTCGCTTAACCAACTGAGCCACCCAGGCGCCCCTAAAGTAATTATTGATAGATATGTACTTATTGCCATTTTGTTACTTGTTTTATGGTTGTTTTTGTAGTTCTCTGTTCCTTTCTTCTTCTCTTCCTCTCTTCCCTTGTGGTTTGATGGCTTTCTTTAGTGTTACGCTTGGATTCCTTTCTCTTTATTTTTTTGTGTATCACAGGTTTTTGATTTGTGATTACCGTTAGGTTCATATATAACATCTTATGTATATAGCAATGTATATTAAGTTGGTGGTTGCTAAAATTTTAATCCGTTCTAAAAGAACTAAATTTTTACTCCCCCCATTCCATTTTATGCATATGATGTCATACTTTACATCGTTTTATTTTGTGACTCCCTTAGCTGATTTTTTATAGATACAATTGATTTTACTACTTTTGTGCTTTAACCTCCATACTGGTTTTATAAGTGATTAATCTACTACTTTTATTATATGTTTGCATTTACCTGTGAAATTTTTTCCTATCATAATTTTCTTACTCCTGATTATGGCCTTTTCTTTCCATTCAAAGAATTCCCTTTAACGTTTCCTGTAAGGCTGGTTTAAGTGATGAACTCCTTTAACTTCTGTTTGTATGAGAGACTATCTCTCCTATTCTGAATGATAGTCTTGCTGGGTAGAGTATTCTTGTTTGCAGGTTTTCCTTCCAGTACTTTGAATATATCATGCCGTTCCATTCTGGCTGCAATGTTTCTGCTGAAAAAATCAACAGAATAGCCTTAGAGAGTGTCTCTTGTATATAACTTTTCTTTTTTCTTGCTGCTTTTAAAATTCTCTGTCATTACTTTTTGCCATTTTAATTACCATGTGTGTTGGTGTGGACCTTGTTTGGTTAATTTTATTGGGGGCTCTCTGTGCTTCCTGGATCTAGATGTCTGTTTCCTTCTCCAGATAGGGAAGTTTTCAGCTATTCTTTCTTTTTTTTTTTTTTTAAGATTTTATTTATTTATTTGACAGAGAGAGAGCTTGTGCACAAGTAGGCAGAGTGGCAGGCAGAGGGAGAGGGAGAAGCAGGCTCCTTGCTGAGCAGGGAGCCCAATGCAGGGCTTGATCCCAGGACCCTGGGATCATGACCTGAGCCAAAGGCAGACATTTAACTGACTGAGCCAACCAGGCACCCCTCAGCTATTATTTCTTCAAGTAAATGTTCTGCCCCATTTTTCTCTCTTCTCCTTCTGGGATCCCTGTAATGCAAACGTTATTATACTTAATGTTGAAAACTCAGCAACATTTATTATTAATCTATTCTCATTTTTTATATTATTTTTATTTTTGCGTTCAACTTGATTGCTTTTCATTAGCCTACCTTCCAGGTCCCTGATCCATTCTTCTGCTTCCTCTAATCTGCTATTGATTCCCTCTAGTGTATTTTTATTTGTCATTTAGTTTTTCATTTCTGATTAGTTCTTTTTAATATTTACTGTTTGTTTTTGAAGGTCTCACTAAGATCATCCACTCTTTTCTCAAGTCCAGTGAGTATCTTTATGATTATTGCTTTGAATTCTTTATCAGGTACATTGCTTATCTTTGTTTCATTTAGCCCTTTTGCTGTGATTTTGTCCTGTTCTTTTGTTTGGGACATTTTCCTCTGTCTTCTCATTTTATACAACTGTATTTGTTTCTGTGTATTAGGGAAGTCAGTTACAGCTCTTGATCTTGAAAGTAGTGACCTCAGCACACCTGGGTGGCTCAGTCGGTTAAGCATCTGCCTTTATGGCTCAGGTCATGATCCTAGGGTCCTGGGATCAGGCCTCATATCAGGCTCCCTGCTCAGCAGGGAGTCTGCTTCTCCCTCTCCTTCTGCTGCTCCCCCTGCTTGTGCTCGCTCGCTCTCTGTCAAATAAATTAGTTAAATATTTAAAAAAAGAAAGAAAGAAAGAAAGTAGTGACCTTATGAAGGTCCTATGGTGCCCTGGGGTACAGTGTCTGTCATTCACCAGAACCAGGTGCTTCAGGGGTGTCTCCTATGTGGGTTGCCTGTGCTCTGCTGTTGTGGCAGAACCCCTTTTGCCTTCAGCCCATTGGCTGCAATGGCCCACTTTGCCTGTTCTGGGCAAGGTTTGGTCTCTGTGTTGTTAAGGGGTCTGTCGGGGGCCACTGGGGGCTTGCAGTTTGGTGGTGTCAGCAGTCAGACTAGATGCCTGCTCTCAGCCTGTCTGCTGGGGCTGTAGTTGTACCAGCTTGATTTGTGCAATATATTAGCACATTAGATGTTATATATGTATATATATACATATATATGTATATATATATTAACATTAGATGTTATATATGAACCTAACGGTAACCACAAATCAAGGCACAAGGCACTCTCCCTGCCTTGCCCTCTGAGAGGGGGCAGGTCCCCTTGTTCACTGGTGAGCAGGGGCTGGCAGTCAAAGTGCCTACTCCTAATCCATCTGCCAGGGCTGAAGTCGCACTGATCAGCAGGGTACTCTCTGTACTGCTAACTATAAGGTTCAGTTGCTGGAACTGTGGGCACACCGGTGTGTGTGGTTATCCTTCCCCTCTCCACAAAGCAAGTCACTTTGGAGTGGCACTGGTCCCGACTAGTGCTGCTTGCGTGGTGTGTTGGGGCTGGAGCCCCTTTGGAATGGGGTGGGTTTTATGGGGCAGATCCTCAGGAGAATGTGAAGGTGGGGCATGCAGTGCTAGCAAGGTAGGTGCTGTGTGTTTGCACTGGTTCCCTAAAGCTTCCAGCTATCTAGGCAGCAGTTGGGGGTGGACAGGGAATGGTTCCACCAGCTTTTTTGTTCTTGGGGAAGTTTCCTAAAGATTCCCGTCCCTCCAGCACAGATTCTGAGATTAGTAAATAAATGCTCTTCACGTTATACCCCTAGGCGCTTTTCAAACTGCTGCTTCTCTACTGTTATCTCAGCAGGTTGGTTGTTAGGCTGGCTCCTAAAGGATAGGGACTCCAGTTTCCTGTCACCCTCTGGCTCTCCCAGAACTAAGCCTGCTGAAGTACCCAGAGTTAAGCCCTACTGGTTTTCAAAACCAAATGTAATGGGACTCATCTTCCCAGTGTGGGTCCCCCATACCTGGGGTGCCTGGTGTGGAATCTGATCCTCTTGCTTCTTTGTGTTTGTGGTGTCCCTCCTGTTTGTGGTTATTCTTACTGGGGGTTTCGTTCCCAACTGCATCTCCACCCCACTCTCTGCGATTACCTGTGGGAAGTCTGTTCTGCCATTCTCAGGTCATTTTCATAGTTACACTGATGTGGCTGTTATCTTGGTGTGTCTGCGGGAGGAGGTGAGCCCAGGATCCTTCTACTCCACCATCTTTTCAGAACTCTCTCTATATCCTCTATATTTTTGTTGAGATTCTGTATTTTTCCATTTGTTTCAAGAGTATTTGTGTTTGCTTATTGAAACATTTGCACAATTATGGTTTTAAAGTCTTTGTCAGGTAATGCAAACATCTGTCATCTCAGTGTTGATATCTGTTGAATTTCTTTAACTTTGTGATATATTTCAGCAGGCAGTCAACCTAGTGAAGGTTCAAGCTTCAAATTTCTACCTGTTTTCTGTGGTTTGTTTTCCCATTGTGACATATACATGACCAGTTGGGCTCAGATATTCGTTCCCATTTGAAACAAGTAATATGAGAATGGTTCTATTTATCAATTTTAGTAGTTTTGAATGAATGATTATTATGATAAGCCTTTCCCACTGCCTCATTTTTGCATTATATACGTTTATTCTCAGCCTTATTTCTTTTATCAATAGTTTTCCAATTACTTAACACCTATTGTGTGCTATGGGCTTATTATTTCAGTGGTGAATGCTATCAGGATTGTGTCTGCTCCTAGGCAGATTTAGGAATAAGAAAATACACAGAATGAGAAATGAGCTAATGAATGAATGAACGTATAATTAAAACAGAATTGTGAAGGCAAGGAGTGAGACTCTTGAATAGAGAATAAAGGAGAGGGATATAATTGGATGGGCCCAGCAGGTATAGCTGTTCTGAGGAAGACATTTCTTTTCAGTCTTAAAAATGAGAATGTTGTCTCCTACAAGCAGCTCAGGCCACAGGATTCTTGTGTAATAAAACAGTCTGACCAAAGCATGAAGATATTGAAGAAAGGTTATATCATGTTTGAAGTGCTAAAAGAAAGCAGTGTGGTAGAGATAGGGTCCAAAGGATGACAGTGGCTTCATAGGTGGTCTTGTTATCCATGGTAAGGGTTTTGGATTTTAGTATAAGAGTAAAGACAAACCATTCAAAACAGTTTTAAGTATGGATCTTTGAACTTTGATCTGCATCAGAATTATCTGATAGAGATATTAAAAATACAGCATCTGATGACTTATTCCTAAAAATTCTGATTCTGTGCATCTGAGTTGCTTGAATATCAATATTTGTAACAAGCCTACCAAAGGATTTTGATTAACACCTAAATTTCACAAAGTTAATCTCCTCCCCTATTATGAGCATCACCATCTAACAAACTTTCTTCATTTTTGGAGCTCTTCTTATTTTTCAAATTCTCTGAAAATGTATTATATATACTTCAATATATATTTAAGAATTTTTTTCTGTATGTATATTTTTAGAGTTATATATTCTTTAATGGATTTTGTACATGTGTGTACAGGAAGGTAAAATGTGTTTGCTTTCTCCTTTTCTTTCAGATTTGGAGTCAAATTATGGAGCTGAGAAGTTATCTCCAGAAAATGATATTCATGAAATAAATTTGCCTAAACAGAGTATAAAGCAAATAAGTAAAACTCTTGACCTTAAAACCTCCAATTTTAGAAATGACTCAAAATGCAGAAATAGATTTAGGGGACAACAGGGACATCAAGAGGGGTATATCAATCAAAAGATAATAAGCTATGAAAAAATGCATACTTCTACTCATCATACTTCTCTTATTCACACTACAGATAAGCCATATGAATGTAAGGAGTGTGGGAAGTACTTTAGTCGTGGTTCAAATCTTATTCAGCATCAGAGTATTCATACTGGAGAGAAACCCTATGAATGTAAGGAATGTGGGAAGGCCTTTAGACTCCTTGTCCAACTTACTCGACATCAGAAATTTCATAGTGGTGAGAAACCCTTTAAATGTAAGGAATGTGGGAAAGCTTTTAGTCTTCCTACCCAGCTTAATCGCCATGAGAATATTCATACAGGTGAGAGACCATTTGAGTGTAAGGAATGTGGGAAGTCCTTTAATCGTAGCTCAAACCTTGTTCAACATCAGAGTATTCATACAGGGATAAAACCATATGGATGTAAAGAGTGTGGGAAAGGCTTTAATCGTGGTTCAAATCTTGTTCAGCATCAGAAAATTCATTCTAGTGAGAAACCCTTTGAATGTAAGGAATGTGGGAAGACCTTTAAATATCATTACCAACTTATTGAACATTGTCGAATTCATACTGGTGAGGAACCCTTTGAATGTAAAGAATGTGGGAAGGCCTTTAGTCTTCTGATAGAGCTTGCACGACATCAGAACATTCATACTGGTGAGAAACCATTTAAATGTAAGGAATGTGGCAAGGCCTTCAGTCGTGGCTCGAATCTTGTTCAACATCAGAGTATTCATACCGGTGAGAAACCATATGGGTGTAAGGAATGTGGAAAGGCTTTTAGACTTCACCTACAACTTTCTCGGCATCAGAAGACTCATACTGGTGAGAAACCCTTTGAATGTAAGGAATGTGGGACAGCCTTCCAATATCAGTACCAACTTATTGAACATCAGCGAATTCATACAGGTGTGAAACCTTATGAATGTAAGGAATGTGGGAAAATGTTTCGTCGTGGTTCAAACCTTATTCAGCATCGGAGTGTTCATACTGGAAAAAAACCATTTGAATGTAAAGAATGTGGGAAGGCCTTTAGACTCCATATACAACTGATTCGACATCAGAAATTTCATACTGGTGAGAAGCCCTTTAAATGTAAGAAATGTGGGAAAGCCTTTAGTCTTCTCACCCAGCTTAATCGTCATGAGAATATTCATACAGGTGAGAAGCCATTTGAATGTAAAGAATGTGGGAAGTCCTTTAATCGTGTCTCAAACCTTGTTCAACATCAGAGTATTCATGCTGGCATGAAACCATACGAATGTAAAGAGTGTGGTAAAGGCTTTAATCGTGGTTCAAATCTTATTCAGCATCAGAAAATTCATTCTAGTGAGAAACCCTTTGAATGTAAGGAATGTGGGAAGGCTTTTAGGTATTATTACCGACTTACTGAACATCATAGAATGCATACTGGGGAGAAACCCTTTGAGTGTAAGGAATGTGGAAAGGCCTTTACTCTTCTGACACAGCTTACTCGACATCAGAACATTCATACTGGTGAGAAACCATTTAAATGTAAGGAATGTGGCAAGGCCTTCAATCGTGGCTCAAATCTCATTCAACATCAGAGTATTCATACTGGTGAGAAACCCTATGGATGTAAAGAATGTGGAAAGGCTTTTAGACTTCACCTACAACTTTCTCGACATCAGAAAACTCATACTGGTGAGAAACCCTTTGAATGTAAGGAATGTGGGACGACAGCCTTTAGACATCAGTACCAACTTATGGAACATCAGCGAATTCATACAGGTGTGAAATCCTATGAATGTAAGGAATGTGGAAAGAGCTTTAGTCGTGGTACAGACCTTAGAGTACATCAGAGAATTCATACTGGTGAGAAACCCTTTGAATGTAAAGAATGTGGAAAGGCCTTTAGACATCACTACCAATTTCTTGGACATTACAGAATTCATACTGGTGAGAACCCCTATGAATGTAAGGAATGTGGGAAATGCTTTACTTGTGGTAGCGAACTTAGAGTACATCAGAGGATTCATACTGGTGAGAAACCATATCAATGTAAGGAGTGTGGGAAGGCCTTTAGTCGTAGCTCAAACCTTATTCAACATGTTAAAATTCATACTGGTGAGAAGCCCTATGAATGTAAGGAATGTGAAAAGGCCTTTAGCAATAATTATGAACTTACTGTACATCAGAGAATTCATACTGGTGAGAAACCTTATGAATGTAAGGAATGTGGGAAAACTTTTAGACTTAGTTCAGTCTTTACCGCTCATCAGAGAATTCATACAGGTATGAAACCCTATGAATGTAAAGAATGTGGAAAGACCTTTAGTTGTAGCTCAAACCTTATTCAGCATGAGAGGATTCATACTGGTGAGAAACCTTATGAATGTAAGGAATGTGGGAAGGCCTTTAGACTTAGGTCAGTTTTTATTGCCCATCAAAGAATTCATACAGGTCTGAAGCCCTATGAATGTAAAGAATGTGGGAAGGCCTTCACTGTGAATGGTCAGCTTACTCGGCATCAGAAAATTCATAATCGTCAGAAGTCCTGTGAATATGAGGAATGTGGGAAAATCACTGGATATGAACAACTTAACATCAGAGAGTTCATAGTGGCAAGAAATTCTATGAATATAAAAAAATGTGGGAAGACCTTTCATTGTGGACTGAGATTTGCTCAACAGCACAGTATTCCTACTGGTGAGGAATTTTAAGTCTGAGTGGTGTGGAAAGATTTACAGTCACAGCAAACACCTTAGTGTTGAGGACATTCTTGTGAGAGAGTCTTTGAATGTAAAGAAATACAGAGTAGCCTTCATGTTCACAATTTACTAATCATGAAAGATATTTTCCTAGGTATGTTAATTTCATACACTTAGAAAAGCTTTCAAACTCAAACTGGAGGAAAACTGTTGTTGGAACAAATGTAAGCTAACGTCTACCTGAGGCAGATGCTTTATCACCATTGCCATTTCACTACCTGTGTGACATTAGGTGCCTATCCTCTTTGTGCATCATTTGTAAATGGTAACAAAAGTGAGTACATACTAATGCAATTACGGGAATAAAGGTGTTCTAGTACACACAAAATCCTTAAAAGAGTATTTGGCACATGCTTGTGTTCATAAAGAACAGCTTTTATGTTTCATTAGCATTGTTGATGATAGGAAAATTGCATTATTGTGAATAATTTAGAAAAACCTCATCCATTCCTTCATTATTAAATTTTAAATAACTTGTTCTGTATAAGATTTCATGGGAAGTAAAGAATACAAGAGGATTTTCATTAAGAGTTTATTCCTTAAGTTACATCAAAAAGTTAATTTTGGAAAGAAACCCTAGGGATTTAATGAGTGAGGAAATGTTCAAGAATCAGGGAGAGTTCATTTGAAGTGATTTGTCTGTAAAAATATCAACTGGCAGAAAATGTATAATTTATTTCTCTGTCCAGAAGCTAAGATAAATATTAGTAAAAGAATAGCAAAATAAAACCTATCCATTTATATATTCTTCAACTTTATCTTGAAAATTGCTGCTCATATGAAAAAGTTGAAAGAATGAACACCCATATACCCCTTTGTAGATTCAGAGTTGTTAACAATTTGACATTTATTTTTCTGTATATTTTATGTTGTACCATTGAGAATATGTTTTAGACACCAGGATACTTTCCCCTTTATTACATCAGTGTGTATCTCCCAAACATAAAGACAACCTCATATATAGCCATAGTATCATAATTACCCTTAAGGAAATTCTCCATAATTCCACAGTATCTATCTCATCAGTTTCTTCATTGGCTTCTAAGATGCCATTTACAGGGGTTCATCTTCTAAGTAGAATGCATTCCGGATTCTGTACTGTATTTGGTTGTTAGCACTCTTTATTCTTTTTTATTTTTTTTTAAGATTTATTTGAGAGAGCGAGAATGAGAGAGAGCGTGTACATGAGAGGGGGGAGGGTCAGAGGGAGAAGCAGACTCCCCACCGAGCAGGGAGCCCAATGCGGGACTTGATCCCGGGACTCCAGGATCATGACCTGAGCCAAAGGCAGTCACTTAACCAACTGAGCCACCCAGGCGCCCCATCTTTATTCTTTTTTAGTCTACAACAGTGACTCACAATTTCTTGGGTATCAGAATCATCTGTGGATCTTAGTAAAAATACAAAGGTCCAGGCCCACTGAACCTCTGTGTTTGTTTTAGCTTTCCAGGGGATTTTGGTACGCACTGTAGAGCGCCACAAATCTAGAACATTTCTTCTTTTTCAAAAATTCTTAAATAATGTTGACTTTTTGAGACGTCCAGGAAAATTGTCTGCCATTTGTTTAGATTTTATGTTTCTGTATGGTGTCATTTAGCCACCTTCTATCCTTTGTATTTTCTGTACAAAGGAGACTGGGGGGAGGGGTTGCCTGGGTGTCTTAGGTCATGATCTCAGGGTCCTGGGATCGAGCCCTGCATTGGGCTCCTTGCTCAGCGGGGAGCCTGCTTCTCCCTCTCCCTCTGCCTGCCACTCCCCCTGCGTGTGCTCTCTCTCTCTCTGTCAAATAAATGAAATCTTTAAAAACAAAACAAAGGAAATTGAGTCTAGAGGCTCTATTAGGTTCAGATTAAATGTTTTAAGGGGAGAATACTTTGTAGGTTATGTTTGTATGTCATATCGCAACAAGTCAGAAAGCATGTAAGGACAGGTCATTGCTTTGTTAGTAAAACTAAGTTTGATCATTTGGATAAGATGATACTATTGTAAAGATCTCCACTGTAAAGATCTGTGGAGAGACTGTCACCTCTTTGAAAATTTATAATCAAGTGTATTTAAATCCTGAATCAATAGAAAATTAAAAAATGAAATTGACTTGGGGCGCCTGCGTGGCTCAGTCGTTAAGCGTCTGCCTTCGGCTCAGGTCATGATCCCAGGGTCCTGGGATCGAGCCCCGCATCGGGCTCCCTGCTCGGCGGGAAGCCTGCTTCTCCCTCTCCCGCTCCCCCTGCTTGTGTTCCCTTTCTCGCTGTGTCTCTCTCTATCAAATAAATAAATAAAATCTTAAAAAAATTAAAAAAAAAAAAGAAACTGACTTTTCAGGAATGAATTGCATTAAAATGCAAACATGATTGAACTTGTGGAATGTGGCTGGAGCTAAACTCTGTACAGAATTAATATCCTTAAGAAAGATAGGATATAAGATATAAGAAACCAAGATTGCTTTGACCAGAACCTTCTTTTGTTGTTCAGCACTTTGTCCCCTGTACCTTTATTGTGTCTGGCACATGAGAAATTGATAAACCTTAGGGGAAAAAAAATTGAACCTTCTGGTCAAGAAGCTTTAAGACAAATCAGAATAAACCCTAAGCTAATATAAGGATCAGGACAGTAAAAATGAGGATTAATTTGTATTTCCCTGATGCCAAGTGATGTTGAGCATTTTTTCATGTGGCTGTTGGCCATTTGTATGTCTTTGGAGAATTGTCTGTTCATGTCTTCTGCCCATTTCTTGACTGGATTTTTTGTTTTTTTGGGTGTTGAGTTTGATAACTTCTTTTTTTGTTGCTGTTAAGATTTTATTTATTTATATGACAGAGAGAGAACCAAGCACAAGCAGGGGGAAAGGCAGAGGGAGAAGCAGGCTTCCCGCCGAGCAGGGAGCCTGATGCAGGATTTGATCCCAGGACCCTGGGATCATGACCTGAGCCGAAGGCAGATGCTTAACTGGCTGAACCACCCAGGTGCCCCTGAGTTTGATAACTTCTTTTTAGATTTTGGATACTAGCCCTTTATTTGATTTTATCTTATTTTTTATGGCTGAATAATATTCCATATTATATATAATATTCCATATAAATATTCCAATATAAAATACACACCACATTTTCCTTATCCCTTCATCTGTTGATGGATGCTTAGATTATTTCCATTTCTTGGCTATTGTAAATAATGCTGCAATGCGCATGAGAGTGCTGATATCTCTTAAAGATAGTGATTTCATTTTTTATTTTTTGGACATATAGCCAGAAGTGGGATTGCTGGGTTATATGGTAGTGTGTATTTTTAATTTTTTGAAGAACCTCCATACTGTTTTCCATAGTGGCTGCACTAATTTATATTCCCACCAATTGTGTACAAGGGTACTCTTTACCTCCTTACCAGCTCTTGTTATTTCTTGTCTTTCTGATTACAGCCATTCTTTTTTTTTTTTTTAAGATTTTATTTATTTATTTATTTGAGAGTGAGAGAATGAGACAGCACGAGAGGGAAGAGGGCAGAGGGAGAAGCAGACCCCCCGCTGAGCAGGGAGCCCGATGTGGGACTCGATCCCAGGACTCCAGGATCATGACCTGAGCCGAAGGCAGTTGCTTAACCAACTGAGCCACCCAGGTGCCCTGATTACGCCATTCTAATAGGTGTGAGATGATATCTCAGTGTGGTTTCGATATGCATTTCCCTGATGATTAGTGATATTGAGCACCTTTTCATGTACCTGTTGGCCATTTGAATATCTGTGGAAAAATGTCTTCAGGTTCTTTACCAGTTTTTAAATTAGATTATCTGGGAGTTGTTTGTTTGTTTTGCTATTGAGTTTTATGATTTCATACCAATCTCTTATCCAGTACATACTGGCTTGTGATATTTTCTCCCTCCATATGTTGCCTTTTCATTTTTTTATCTCATTTATTTTTCTGTGCAGAAGTTTTTAGTTTGATATAGTCCCAGTTATTTATTTTTGCTTTTGTTACTGGTGCTCTATGTGTCATATGCAAAAAAAAATCATTGCCAGAACTTTTTACCTGTGTTTTCATCTGGGAGTCTTATGTTTTCATGTCTTACATTTATTTAAGTCTTTAATCCATTTTGAGCTAATTGTTGTGAGTAGTATAAGAGGGGAGTCTAGTTTTATTCTTTTGCATGTGAATATCCAGTTCCCCAGCACCATTTATTGAAGAGACTGTCTTTATTGAGCATTCTTGGCTCTCTTTTCAAATATTAATTGACCATGAATGTATGGGTTTATTTCTGGGCTCTCAATTCTGTCCCATTGATCTATGTGCCTGGTTTTATGCTGATACCATACTCTTGATTCCTATAGCTTTGTAATATGGTTTGAAATGGGGAAATGTCTCTAGCCTTGTTCTTCTGTGTCAGGATGGCTTTGGCTCTTCCAAGTCTTTGGGTTTAAAGTCTATTTTGTCTGATATTAGTATAGTCACACTTGCTCTTTTGGTACTTTTTGCATGGAATTTTTTTTCTTTTTTCTGATACTTTCAACCTGTTTGTGTCTTTGGATCTTATGAAGATGGATCATGTGTTTTTATCCGTTCTGCCAATCACTGTCTTTTGACTGGAAGAGTTTAATCCATTTACACTTAAAGTAATTACTGATAAGGAGGAACTTCTATCATTGTGTTATTTGCTTTCTATATGCTTTATGGATTTTTTTCATCCCTCATTTCCTACATTACTGGCTTTTGTGTTTAGGTTTTTTTGGTATGGAAATGTTTAAGTTTTTTTCTCATTTCCCTTTGTGTATATTTTCTTTGTAGTTACCATGTGGATTATATTTAACATCCTAATTTGAATTTATACCAGCTTAATTTCAGTAACATACAAAAACTGCACCTTTACAGCTCTGTATCCACCTCTTTTGGCTGTTAATGTCACATAATTATGTCTTCATACATTGTGTGTCCCAAAACAAGCTAATAGTCTTTTAAATGCATTAGTCTCTAAAAGAGACTAATTTGTTTCTTAATGTAGAAAACAAGATTTAGAGTAACAAACCAAAGTTACAGTAATATTAGATGTCCTGTTACTCCCAGCCTATTGATGATGTTGTTGGCTAAGAATGCCTGAGGCATGGGGCACCTGGGTGGCTCAGTTGGTTTGGCGTTCAACTCCTGATTTTGGCTCAGGTAATGATCTCAGGGTTGTGAGATTGAGCCCCAAATTAGGCTCTGCACTGGGCATGGAGCCTACTTAAGATTCTCTCTCTCCCTCTCCCTCTGTCTCTCCCTGCTTGTTCTCTCTCTCTCTCTCAGGGGAAAAAAAAAAAAAGGAATGCCTGAGACACTTGCTCAAGCACATAGTCCTTGTAGCAAGCCCTCACAGACATTTCCCCCACTGGGACCAAAGTTGTGGCTGGATCAGCCCCCGTGGTTCTTACGATTTCAAGATATACCTCAGCAATGACCATCAGAGAACTTCGAAGAACAGGCATTATTACAGATCCTCTAAGACCCATGGTACATCCAAGGGCCGCACAGTGAGGTTGCAGGTATAGGGAGAGAGAGTGCAGACCTGGGGCTCTGCCTTTATTAGGAACTGAGGGTGGGGTGTCTAGGGTTTCACAGTTTCACTCCTTATTGGCTAATTTAAAGCCTGAGTGGGAATTAAGGTACTGGAACGGAGAAGCAAGGTTACTCAAGTGATCAATTATCTAGGTTGCCCAGGGCTTTCTGAAACAAGGAGCTTCATGAGTGAGGGTGACCTAATTCCTTCTCTGGTTGTTTTGCTAGTAGTGTCAAACAGTTGGCAATATGTCTATTCAAGATGGATTTCTTTTGAAATGGATGCCTCAGTGACCAAAATATTAATATCAGGTACTTACACTATTACCAAAAAACTTAATGTCAGCACTTATTACTGTGCTAGCTTTTACACGAATTGTTTTTTCTTTAAATGTATTAAGCTTTTAAATCACATAAAAAGCAAAAGGTACTACAAACCATTGTTTACTGGTTTGTCTAATTGCTCATGTATTTACTTTTATTGAGATCTTTATTTCTCTATATAGCTTGTGTTACTGTCTAGTGTCTTCATTTCACCTTGCAAGACTCCCTTGAACATTTCTTGCAGGCTAGGTCTAGCAAGCACCAAGTCCTTTGGCTTTTGTTGATCTGGGAATGTCTTAATTTCGCTGTCAATTTTGAAGGGCAGGTTTTTCTGGATATAGGATTCTTGGTTTAAAGTTTTTTTCCTTTGGCATTTTGCATATATTGATCCACTGTCTTCTGGCCTCCAGAATTTCTGCTGAGAAATCTGGTAATCTTATTGAGTATCACTTGTATGTAATGATTCACTTCTCTCATCACTTTCAAGGTTCTCTTTGTCTTTTGAAAGTTTGTAATGTGTCTTGTGGATCTCTTTTTATCAATTATTTTTTAAATTGAAGTGTAGTTGACACAGGTATGGATCTCTTTGACTTAATTTTATATGGAGTTTGTTGTGCTTCTTGGATGTTTATTTTATGTCTTTAGTTGAATTTGGGACGTTTTAGCATTATTTCTTCAAATAATTTCTTCAAATTTCTTCTGCCTTTTTCCCTCCCTCTCTTTTCTCCTTGGACTCCCATGATGCATATGTTGGTCCACTTGATGGTATCCCAGAGGTCCTTTAAGCTGTTTGCTTTTCCTTAATATTGTTTTCTTTCTGTTCCTCATACTCAGTAATTTTCATTGTTCTATATTCAAGTTCTCTGAGGCTTTCTTCTGCTTGCTCAAGTCTGCCTTTGGATCCCTCTAGTGAATTTTTCATTTCAGTACTTTTCAGCTCCAGAATTTCTTTTGTCTTTTTTAGATTTCCATCTCTTTATTGATATTCCATTTTGTTCTCACATTATTTCCTTGACTTTCTCCATATTTTCCTTTAGTTCTTTGAGCATCTTTAAGGCAGTTATTTTAAAGTCTTTGTCTAGTATATCTGCCATTAGTTACTTTTCAGGGATAATTTATGTTGATTAATTTGTATTTTCTTTGAATGCCTTTTGATTTTGATATTGTTGTTTAAACTGGCCATTTGAATCTAATAAATGTGGTAACTCTGGAAATCAGATTCTCTCCCTTCCCCAGGGTTTGCTGTTTTGTTTTGTTTTGGAGGTTATTTGTTTATTTTTGGGTTTTGGTTTTTGGTTTTGGTATTGGTTTTGATTGTTGTAGGCCATCTCTGTTCCAAGGATAAGTTTGAAGTTTAGATCAGAAAAGATCTAAGACCTTATGTTCCACTTCCAGATCGTAGAGTAAAAAGGTATCTCTGCAGACCCATTCCCAAGTAAAAGAAGTAAAGCTGGAAAGTAAAATTTAAAATCCCACAACAACTAAACATTTAAAGTTTGAAACATCGTAAGGGCATACAGCAAGTGAAATATTTATCAAAAAATTTACTGAAACTTGGAAAGAACAGTGAGAACCTGGCATTTAAAATATGACCTGTTCCCTCCTCCACTGCAGCTTCCCTTGATAGAAGCTTCATTGTAGGTAGGTGTGACCAAGAAGATGGAGCTCCCTCTCCCTCCAGCTCCCAATCAAGGGTTACCATATCTCAAAGGGACGGGGAGGCTGCAAGTGTTTCTCATCCTTACCAACTCAGTTGAAGAGGCTAAATGCCTGATGAGTATGGTTGAGTAGTTTGGGACTTCCTCCACCAGCCCCTACCCTACATAGATGGGATACTCTACTCAGGTATAGGGAGCCCAGAATACTGGGACCCTGATTGTCCTCATCTCAGCTCACATTTAGGACAGATTCCACACCAAGAGAGGCTACCACCAAGCACAATGCCCAGAATAGTGGTTCAGAGATTTTTGCCCAGAGGGAGTAGCAGTCTATAAGAAAAGAGCTCTGAAGCTCTCTCCGAAAGAACTGATTTTATTTGAAACAATATGGGAAAATTCAAGGCTGAGGGCAATGTTAAAGCAAATAGTTCCTCTGAATTAAAAATAATAACTAAAACCGTAGGATAGCTATTTTATCATACACACCTGGGGAATGAGCTAATAATTTCTATATATTTTAAGGCCAACAGTACAATTACATAAATATTTTTCCATACAACTTTTTAAATCTCCTAGGAAGAAATATGAAGCTATATTGTATTATAATTACTTCTACTACTTTTTTTTTTGGTTTTGAATTTCTGTTCAGAATTACTTCAACTTGAAGAACATTCTTCAGTATTTCTTTTAAGGTAAGCCAGGTAGGAATGAATTCTGTCATTTTTTATTTCCTGGGAATATCTATTTTACCATCTTTTTTTTTTTTTTTTTTTTTTTTGAGAGGGAGAGGGTTAGGGGAGGGGCAAAGGGAGAGAGAGAGAGGGAGAGAATATTTTTTTTTAAAGATTTTATTTATTTATTTGAGAGAGAGAGAGAGAGAGAGAGCACATGAGAGGGGGGAGGGTCAGAGGGAGAAGCAGACTCCCTGCCGAGCAGGGAGCCCGATGCAGGACTCGATCCCGGGACTCCAGGATCATGACCTGAGCCGAAGGCAGTCGCTTAACCAACTGAGCCACCCAGGCGCCCCGAGAGGGAGAGAATCTTAAGCAGACTCCACACCCAGCATGGAGCCCAACACAGGGCTTGATCTCACAACCCCAAGATCATGACCTGAGCCAAAAACAAGAGTTGGATGCTTAACCAACTGAGCCACCCAGGCGCCCCAGCATCATTTTTGAAAGATAATTTTGCTGGTTATAAGATTGGTTGGTAGGGTTTTTCCTTTTGAGCAATTTGAATATGTTATCCCATTGCCTATGTCCTCCATTGTTTCTGATGAGAAGCATGCTATTAATCTTACTGAGGTATTCTTGTGAGTAATACATTGATTTCCTCTTGCTGCTTTCAAGATACTCTCTTTGTCTTTAATTTTCAGCATTTTTACCATGATGTATCTGTTTGTGGGTGTCTGCACGCATCCTGCTGGGAGTTTGTTGAGCTTCTGGTATGTATAGATTAATGCTTGTCAAAAAATTGGGGATGGTTTGGGGTGCCTGGGTGGCTCAGTTAAATGTCTGACTCTTGGTTTTGGCTCGGGTCATGGTCTTGGGGTCCTGAGATCAAGCCCCCGTGTTGGGCTCCATGCTCAGTGCAGAGTCTGCTTATCCCTCCTCTCTCACTCTCTCTCTCATAAATAAAATTCTCTTAAAAATTGGGGATGGGGGGCGCCTGGGTGGCTCAGTCGTTAAGCGTCTGCCTTCGGCTCAGGTCATGATCCCAGGGTCCTGGGATCAAGCCCTGCATTGGGCTCCCTGAATGGCAGGAAACCTGCTTCTCTCTCTCCCACTCCCCCTGCTTGTGTTCCCTCTCTCACTATGTCTCTGTCTGTCAAATAAATAAATAAAATGTTTTTTAAAAATTGGGGATGGTTTTAACCATTATTTCTTTAAATATTTTTCCTCCTCATTTCTTTTTTCTCTCCTCCTGGTTTTCTCATTAAACATATGTTGATGTTGATGCATCTAAAGATGTTCCAAATTTATCTGAGTCTGTCTATTTTCCTTCATTCTGTTATCTCTGTTCTTCAGATTGTATAATATCTATTTATCTATCTTCAAGTTTTCTGATTCTTCTGCCAACTCAAATCTACTGGTTAGCTCTTATGATTTTTTTTTTTTATATTAGTTATGGCATTCTTCAACTCCAGAATTGCCATTTGGTTCTTTTTATTATTTCTATCTCTTTATTGATATTCTCTACTTGATGAAACATTGTCTTCATATCTTCCTTTGTTCTTGTCCCTTTTTCTTGCCAAAAAATGGATATATTAGGTAACATATCATCGCAATTCTGAATATCAATCCCTCCTCCCACCCGCAGACTTGCTTTTGTTGTTTTTGCTTATTTGTTTTGTGTTTTGACTAGGCTATTTTAGTGAAATCCATTTCCCTTTGCAATGTGAAGCATTTAGTGTTGTGCTTGGGTGTGTTCTCAGTCACCTAGGATGACAGGAGTCTCCAACTATCCTTTCCCTTGATCTCTTTGTGAAGCAATCTGCCTCATTTGGTACTATTTCCAGCTCATTAGGCTCCACTGATTTCCTGCTAATTGCTCTGCTGTTTTCAACAATTTCTTGGAGGGGTAAATTGCTCAGTCTGATCCAATTTAATTCTGGAAGGACTAGTTTTTAAGGTCAATCTCTGAGGTGTGTTTTGATCTCAGGATTTGTAGCATATATAGATATGTATAAAAATAAAAGCACAGAAAGTGAGAGGATGGAATGGAACTATATAGGAGTAACATTTATATAAGTCAATGGAATTTAAGTTGCTATAATTCTGAAGTCAATTCTACATTAAGATGTATATGGTATGCAGGGCACCAGGGTGGCTCAGTCGGTTAAGCATCTGCCTTCATGAAGCTCAGGTCATGATCTCAGGGTTCTGGGATCAAGCCCTGCATCGGGCTTCCTGCTCAGTAGGGAGTCTGCTTCTCTCTCTGCCTTTGCTCCCCCCAACCCCCGTGCTTGCTCTCTTGCTCTCTCTCTCTCAAATAAATAAAAATCTTTTAAAAAGATATATATGGTATGCTTTAAAGAATCTATTAAGAAAGTAACTTTAAAAATAGTGAATGAGTGCTTGCTTCAGCAGCACATATTCTAAAATTGGAAAAATACAGAGAAGATTAGCAAGGCCCCTGTGCAAAGATGACACACAAATTCATGAAGCATTCCATATTTTTTTTAACTATAAAGAACAAACTGAGGGTTACTGGAGGGAAGGTGGTGTGGGGGGCTGGGTTAAATAGGTGATGGGTTAATAGGACACTTGTGATGAGCACCAGGTGTTGTATGTAAGTGATGAATCACTAAATTCTACACCTGAAACTAATATTACACTGTATGTTAACTGGAATTTAAGTAAAAACTTGAAAAAATATATATATAGTGAATGAGAAGAGAATCAAACGTGTCACTATAAAAAAAATCAACTAAACACAAAGGAAGGCAATAATGGAGAAAAGGAGGGATAATAAAGCTGTAAGATATAGGAAACAACAAAATAGTTAAGTAAGTCATTATCAGTAATTGCTTTAAATGTAAAGGGATTAAATTCCCCAACCAAAAGACTTAGATTGGCAGAATGGATATAAAACAAAACAGAATCCAACTATTAGCTGTCTACAAGAGACTCACTTTAGATCCAAGACACATGGGTTAAAAATGAAATGATTGGGAAAGATATTGCAAATAATTACCAAGATAGAGCAGGAATTGGCTATACTAATACACAAAATAGACTAAAAACTGTTACAAGAGACAAAGAAGGACATTATATAATATATTGATAACAAGGTCAATATACCAAGAAGATCTATCAATTACAAACACATATGTGGCAAACATCAGAGCTCTGAAGTATATGAAGCAAATGTTGACAGAGAGGGAGAGACTTCAGCACCCTACTTTCAATAATATATAGAACAACCAGACAGGTGATCAATAAGAAAATAGAACGGGCGCCTGGGTGGCTCAGTTGGTTAAGCGACTGCCTTCGGCTCAGGTCATGATCCTGGAGTCCTGGGATCGAGTCCCACGTCGGGCTCCCTGCTCAGTGGGGAGTCTGCCTCTCTCTCTGACCCTCCCCCTTCTCATGCTCTCTATCTCATTCTCTCTCTCAAATAAATAAATAAAATCTTAAAAAAAAAATAAGAAAATAGAAGACTTGAGCAATACTGTAGACCAGTTGGGCCTGACAGATATACAGAACACTCCACCCAACAATAGAATACATTTGTGTCAAGTGCGTGTGGAATATTCTTCAGGATAGACTATATATTTATTTTTAAGATTTTATTTATTTATTTGACAGAGAGAGCAAGTAGGCAGAAGGAGAGGGAGAAGCAGGCTCCATGCTGTGCAAGGAGTCCGATGTGGGGCTCGATCCCAGGACCCTGGGATCATGACCTGAGCCGAAGGCAGATGCTTAACTGACTGAGCCACCCAGGCACCCCAGGGTAGACCATAGAACTCGTTAATACTTGTTAAGCCACAGAACAAATATTAATAAATTTTAAAAGATTGAAACTAGAATTCAGTAGCAGGAAAACTGGAAAATCAACAAATATGTGAAAATTAATCAATACACTCTTAACTAATAAGTTAAAGAAGAAATCACAAGGGAAATTAGAAAATGTCTTGAGACAAATGAAAACAAAAACACAAACTACCAAAACTTGTGACATGCAACAGAAGCAGTACTAGAGGGAAATTTATAGCAGTAAATGTCTATATTAAGATTTCAGGGGTGCCTGGGTGGCTCAGTCATTAAGTGTCTGCCTTCGGCTCAGGTCATGATCCCAGTGTCCTGGGATCGAGCCCTGCATCAGGCTCCCTGCTCCGCGGGAAGCCTGCTCCTCCCTCTCCCACTCCCCCTGCTTGTGTCCCTCTCTCGCTGTCTCTCTCTGACAAATAAATAAAATCTTAAAAAAAAAAAAAGGTTTCAAATCAACAACTGAACTTTACTCCGGAAAGAACTAGAAGAGAAAAACTAAACCCATAGGTGCTAGAAGGAAAGAAATAATCAAGATCAGAGTAGAGAAATAAAATAGGAGATAGAAAAACAGTAGGGACAATTAATGAAATAGTAGAGGAAATTCATGAAACCAAGAGTTGTTTCTCCAAAAAAATAACATATTAACAAATCATTAGCTAGGCTGACTAAAAGGAGAGAAGACTCAAATAACTACATTAGAAATGAAAGAGATGGAGTTTCCTCAAAATGTTAAAAATAGAACTCTGGAAAACAGTATGGAGGTTCCTCAAGGCATTAAAAATAGAGTTATCCTATGACCAAGCAATTGCACTACTGAATATTTACCCCAAAGATACAGATGTAGTGAAAAGAAGGGGCACATGGACCCCAATATTCCTAGCAGCAATGTCCACAATAGCCAAACTGTGGAAGGAGCCAACATGTCCTTCAACGGATGAGTGGATAAAGATGTGGTTCATATATACAATGGAATATTACTCAACCATCAGAAAGGATGACTACCTACCAGAACAGGAGGGGATTATGCTAAGTGAAATAAGCAGAGAAAGACAATTATCATATGGTTTCACTTATATGTGGAATATAAGGAATAGCACAGAGGACCATAAGGGAAGCGAGGGAAAACTGAGTGGGAAGAAATCAGAGAGGGAGACAAACCATGAGAGACTCTCGACTCTAGGAAACAAACAGGGTTACAGAGGGGAGGGAGGTGGGGGGATGGGGTAATCAGGTGATGGGTATTGAGGTCACGTGATGTGATAGGCACTGGGTGTTATATGCAACTAAGGAATTGTTGAACACTACATCAAAAACTAATGATGTACTATATGTTGGCTAGCTGAACATAATTTAAAAAATAATTTTCTAGTATACTATAAAAATTTTCAATATTTACTAAGGATGTTTTTGTAGTAAAACTTCTTGTTTATGTGAAATTAAAAAAAAAAAAAAAACAGATTCAAAGGGATACATGCACCCTGATGTTTATAGCAGCACTATCAACAATAACCCAACTATGGGGAGAGCCCAAGTGCACATTGACTGATGAATGGATAAAGATGATATGGGGTGTGTGTGTGTGTACACATACATGCAATGGAATAATTACTCAGCCATGAAAAAGAATGAAATCTTATCAAAAACTAATGATGTAATGAATGGTGAATAACAACATGATAAAATTAAATTAAAAAAATAAAAACCCATGACCTTTAAAAAAAAAAAAAGAATGAAATCTTGCCATTTGCAACTATATGGATGGAGCTGGAGAGTATAATGCTAAGTGAAATAAGTCAGAGAAAGACAAATACCATATGATCTCACTCATATGTGGAACTTAAAGAAGACAGATGAATATATGGGAAGGGGGAAAGAAAAAAAGGAGAGAGAGAAACAAGCCATAAGAGACTCTACGGTAGAGAACAAACTGAGGGTTGATGGAGGGGAGGTGAGTGGGGGATGGACTAGATGGGTGATGAGCCCTTGTTTTTTTTTTTAAGATTTTATTTATTTATTTGAGAGAGAATGAGAGACAGAGAGCATGAGAGGGAGGAGGGTCAGAGGGAGAAGCAGACTCCCTGCCGAGCAGGGAGCCCGATGCGGGACTCGATCCCAGGACTCCAGGATCATGACCTGAGCCGAAGGCAGTCGCTTAACCAACTGAGCCACCCAGGCGCCCCTGAGCCCTTGTTTTGATGAGCACTGGGTGTTGTATGTAAGTAATGAACTACCAAATTCTCCAGAAACCAGTATTTCACTGTATACTAACTACCTAAAATTTAAATTTAAAAAATAATTTAAAAAATAAAAGTAAAAAAGAAACGAAAGAGGTGATATTACCAATTTTACAGAAGAGAGTAATATGAACAATTTTGTGCCAGCAAACTGGATAATCTAGATGAAATGGACAAATTCCTAGAAACAACCTACCAAGACTGAATCATGAAGAAATAGAAAATCTAAATATACTTACAACTAGAAAGGAGATTGAATCAGCAACCCAGTACCTTCCAACAAAGAAAAGCTTAGGACCAAACAGCCTCACTGGTGAATTCTTCCAAATGACTTTAGATCTTAATTCTTTTATGGTACCATAGGCATGTATGTAAAGATACAAATTTCCCACTAGAAACATCCTTAACTGTATTCCATACATTTTGATAGGCTTTGTTTTTATTTTCATTCAGTTCAAAATACTTTTCTAATTTCTTATAATTTTTTTTGATGATTCCTAGAGTATTTAGAAATGTGTTGATTAAAATACTTTTGAATCCCAAATATCTTTAGTTGTTGATTTCTAAATTTTTAAAAATATTTTATTTATTTATTTGACAGATAGAGACACAGTGAGAGAGGGAACACAAGCAGGGGGAGTGGGACGGGGAAGCAGGCTTCCCATGGAGCAGGGAGCCCGATGTGGGGCTTGATCCCAGGACCCTGGGATCATGACCTGAGCCGAAGGCAGACGCTTAACGACTGAGCCACCCAGGCGCCCTGTTGATTTCTAATTTATTTCCATTGTAGTCAGAAACATACTTAGCATGATTTCATTTTTTAAAATTTATTAAGATGCTTTATGGTCTAGCATATTATTTAGGCTGGAGAGAATAATAGGGCATGCTGCCTTGAAAAGAGTGTGTATTCTTCTCTTGGTAGAGTGTTCAATAAATATCAGCTCAGTCAAATTGGTTGCTAGTATTACTGAAGTTTTCTGTACTGCTGATTTTCTGCCTGGTTGTTATATCAATTATTGAGAGTGTATTGTTTAACTTTCCAACTTCTATGACTGAATTGTCTATGTCTCCCTTCAATTATGTCAGTTTTTATTTCATGTAACTGTGGGTTCTGTTGTTAGGGGCATATATGTTCATAATTGTTATATTTTCTTGAGGAAATTACCCTTTTATTATTAAATAATGTCCTTATTTTTCTCTAGTAACTCTTTTAAAGCATGTTTTGTCTGATATTAATGTGACCATCCCTTCTCTCTTCTGGCCACTCTTTGTATGGTGTATCTTTTTCCATTTTTTTTTTCAGCCTATTTCTGTCTATTGATAATCATGGTTCAATTTATGTCTGCTATTTTGCTATTTTTCTGTATGCCTCATGTGGTTTGTTTGGGTTTTTTTTTTTTTTAAGATTTTATTTGTTTATTTGAGACAGAGAGAATGAGAGAGAGAGAGCACATGAGAGGGGGGAAGGTCAGAGGGAGAAGCAGACTCCCTGCCGAGCAGGGAGCCCGATGCGGGACTCGATCCAGGACTCCAAGATCATGACCTGAGCCAAAAGCAGTCGCTTAACCAACTGAGCCACCCAGGCGCCCTTGTTTGGGGTTTTTTTTATATCTAACTTGTATTTGTTGAGGAACAATGTTATTCAGCATCTGCAAGGAAGATCTGGGGCTTATCTACTTGTTTATGAGTTTGGTATACAGATGCTTTTAAAAAAAATTTTGGGGTGCCTGGGTGGCTCAATCATTAAGCATCTGCCTTCGGCTCAGGTCATGATCCCAGGGTCCTGGGATCGAGCCCCACATTGGGCTCCCTGATCGGTGGGAAGCCTGCCTCTCCCTCTCCCACTCCCACTCACCCTGCTTGTGTTCCTGCTCTGTTATCTCTCTCTGTGTCAAATAAATAAATAAAATCTTTAAAAATAATAATAAAAATTAAAAAAAAATTTAATTCCAGTGGATATATTAGAGAAGGGGGGAGGGGCAAAGGGAGAGGGAGAGAGAGAATCTTAAGCAGGCTCCACTCCCAGGATGGAGCCCGACATCATGGCTTGATCTCACAACCCTGAGATCATGACCTGAGATGAAACCAAGAGTTGGAGGCCCAAGCCCCTACTGCACCATCCAGGTGTCCCTGTCAGAACTTTTCAAAGTCCCCTGTCACTGTCTTATTTTCCAGTTCTAACCGTTTCACAGCCCTAGGTGGATGTGATGCTGACCTTCAAAGAGTGACACCTCTTGCTATTGTTTTCAATAATGCCCTGAGGATAGACCTTTTACAGAGTTTCAAATCAGGTAAGTCCCCTCTGATGACTGCCAGACTCAGTTTCTGCAGTTTCTGGTGTTGGTTGAGAATGATTGAGAGTGACCCAAGGTAGAATGTCACAAATCCCACTGTTCTTATTGAGGTTCAGTAGTGTTTCTTCAATAAATGCCTTTTAGTTTGTCATAGAAGTTCAGTTCATTTATAGTGTTTTAAAATGGTAAATTTTTTGCCTTTTTTTAAATCTGTGAAGGGAGAAGATTTACTGAGATCCTTACTGCACCATTCCAGAAGTCCCTTCTTGGCAGCTTCTTATAGGGTTAAACGTACACCATATGACTTAGAAATTCCACTCTGAGGTATTTACCCTAGAGAAATGAAAACTTATGTTCACACCAAAACCTGTAGGGTAATGTTCATAGATGCTCTGTTCATAATCCCCCAAACTTGAAACAAGTGAAGGATGACTCACAGAATGGGAGAAAACATTTGCAAATCATATATCTGATAAATAATTTGTATCTAGAATATAGAAAAAAAAGCTTATAATTCAAAAATCAAAATATAAATAACCCAATTTAAAAATTGGCAAAGATTCTGAATGAATATTCTGCCAGGGACAATATACAAATGGTCAGCAAGCACATGAAAAGATGGTCAACATCATCTTTTAGCCAGCAGGGAAATACAAATCAAAATCACACTGAGTTACCATTTTGTACCCATTAGGGTGACTAGAATTAAAAAAAAAAAAAGAGATAATAGATGTTGGTGAAGATATAGAGAAAGTGGAATTCTCATACACTGCTGGTGGGAGTGTAAAATGGTGCAGTTACTTGGGATAACAGAGACTAGCGTTTCCTTAAATGATTAAACATAGTGTTCCCATATGACCCAATGATGCCACGTCTGGGTATATACCCAAGAGAAATAAAAAACATGTCCACACAAAAACTTGTAAATGGAGGAGTACCTTTGATGGGTGGTGAGGGCCAAGCTGTGCAACTCTCTACTCATACTGTAGGAAGATGGCTCAGAGACTTCTGATGAGGTGGGCACCCCTTAACCTCCAGGGCTCTGCAGACCCCACAGTACAGTCCTGGTGGCCTGACAGGAACACCTGGTCCAGCCTAATCAGTATACACACCACCAGAGTCTCTACAGTGACCTTTAACATCCAGGGTGGACCTGACTTTCAAGAGTGAGTTGTCAACAGTGAGAACCAGTGCTTGTGGATTTCCATGCACAGCGGTGTGGTCCCTGCAGGTTTTTTCCTCTGGGGCCAAGGCTAGAGAAGATGGTGTCCAAACAGCATGGAAAGGTGATAATGACCAAGGTGGATATTAATGACCACACATTATGAGTATGAGATGTCAGCTGTTCCCCAATGTGCTGGCCATCAAGAATGGGACATGATGGGCAAGTTTATAGGTATCAGGGACCAGCAGGAAGGCTTCCTGAAGAAGCTGATCGGCTGACAAACAGGGAAGAGTCCTGATTCCCCTTGCCCCCCTGGATCCCCATGGTCCCAGGGAAGGACTCTGATGGAACTCACAGCCCTTCTGTGCCATCCCTTCACACCTCTTCCCTTTTGTCTGACCCCATGGGCCCATGCTTTGGAGACCCGGCCTCCAAACATTGGAGCCTCAAATATTTTCAACCCAGTTGACTGCCCAAGGTGGCCACCAGAGGAAAGGTACTGCTGCTGGTCTGGGGACAGCTATCTTCCCACCTTTGTCTCTGCTTCTAGGGCTTGTTGCCATTCCCCCAGGATGCCTGGAGAGAGCCCTGGGACCAGCCACAGTGTTACTGTTCCAGCAGTAACAGCTTGGTTCTCATCTCCCTGGTCCCTTCTGATCTGAACCCAGGTATCTGGCTCATTTGCCTCCTGTATTTTTCTTTCCTGCTGCCCCCCCCCACCTTTTTTTTATAAAAAAGAAAACTTAAGAAAAAAAAAAAACAACAAGTGAGAATAATATACAATTCTCTCATTTATTATAAGTTTGAATAAAACTTTATGTGATTACTACCTCCTGTGAAGAACAGACCCTGGGCTCTGTACTAAAATTACCCTGTAGCTGCCTCCCACTCCCCCACCCAAAGAGCCTCTTCCCTTCTTTCCTCCTAGGTACAAGGGCAGAGAATTGCACTGGGCTGGGGGAGCCCTGCAGACCCATGACTCTGGAAGGCTGAAGACACTGCCTTCCCTCACCATTAGCTGGCCCTTTTGTTCTCTGAGCAGGAGACTTACCTGTGAACAAGCCAGACCAATCAAACTAGAGTTCGCATTGTCAAAAAAAAAATAATAATAATAATCAAACATGTAAATGGATTTTTATAACAGCATTATCCACAATAGCAAAATGTGGAAATAACTTAATGTCCACCAACAGGTGGCTAAACAAAATGTGGCTGTTGTGGGATGAATTTGTCCCCCCAAATTTTATATATTGCAGTCCTAGCACCTAGTACCTCAGAAGGTGATGGTATTTGGAGATCGGGTCTTGAAAGAGGTAATTCAAGTTTAGTGAGGGCATGAAGGTGGGCCCTAACGCAATGACTAGTGTCTTTATAAAGAGAGATTAGGACACAGGCTTGCCCATACAGAAGGAAGACCATGTGAAGACATAGGGAGAAGAAACAGCCCTGGTGACACATTCATGTTGGACACTGAGCCTGTACAATTATGAGAAAATACATTTCTGTTGTTGAAGCCACCACTCTGTGGCACTTTGTCACGGCAGCCCTTGCAAACAAATACAGTGGCATATGCACACAATGGACTATCATGCAGCCATAAAAAGGAATGAAGTAGTGATATACACTGTAACTGGGATGAACCTTTAAAAACATTCTGCCAAGTGGAAAAAAAAAAAACAACACATAACCCAGTCACAAAAGACCACATGTTCTATGATCACATTCAGATGAAATTCCAGAATAGGGAAATCCAGCGATGAAAGTAGATTAGTGGTTGCTTATGGTTTCAAAGACTGGGGGTGGGGTGGGGGGAGTGGTCTTTTTATTACGGAGTTGTGGTTATGTGTAAAATTGCTATAAACATTCTTGAACAAGTTTCCTGTAGGTATATATTTCTAATTCTCTTGCACAGATATCCAGGAGTGAAATTACTAGATCATAGTGCAGATCTATGTTTAATTTTTACAAGAAATGCCAAATTGCTTTTCATAGTAGTTGTGCCAGCTTATACTCTCATGAGCAATACGTAACAGTTCCAGTTTCTCCACAGCCTTGTTAACGTTTGACATTGTCTGTCTTTCACATTTTAACCATTCTAGTAGATATGTTGTACTTGCTATTGTGGTTGCTTTGTGTTTTTCTTGGTGACTTGAGGACTCATCCTAATACCGTTTTTACAAATGGATTCTCTCCAAATGTTTTTAGACCCTGGCTAGAGGCCAATCAGTTGCTCTTCTTGAGCTGCTGGTTAAGTGCACACCCTAACTACCTCTCTCATTGGGCGCTCACACTCCAGGACACTATACACCTGCCCTAATTGCCCCAGGACCACGTACCAGACAACCAGGGACAGCCCCTCTTCCCCAGAGTCTGCTGAAATTATTCAAAGTAGCAGTCCTAAGCCTTGCCTAAGTCCTAAGCTTACCTTGCCTCCATCATTCCTTCCCACAGAAACAGCAATAAAGGTGCTTGCCCACAGTTCTCTTCTCTCCCGTGGCGCCTTGTGTATGATCCTGGCACTTCCACAAAGCGACCCCACATGGCATGCTGTGTTCTCCCCTGGGAACTGTGAGTATAATAAATTGTAAAATTCTCCACTTTCTCTCTCTTGATCTGCATCACCATACCTTACCCAAAGTAATATGGTTAAAACACTCATGCTGTGGACTTTTTTGTTGTTGTTGTTCTTATTGGCCATTTGTCTATCTTTTGTGAAGTGTCTGTTCACATCTTTTGCCCATTTTTTGTTTTTTATTTTCATCCTATTAAGTTGTACGAGTTCTTTAGATATGCTAGAGAGAAGCCCTTTTTGGATATATGTATTATAAATGTTTCATGTCAGCCCATAGCTTCATTTTCATTGCCCTAATGGTATCTTTTGATGAGAAATTTTTAGATTTATTGAAGTTCAATTTATCTTTTTTTTTTTTTTTTAAGGTTAGGGCTTTTTCTTACTCCAAAGTCATGATGATATTCTACCGTATTTTATTCTAGAAACTTCATAGTTCTTTATATCTCTGATCCACCTCGATTTAATTTGGGGGTATGGTGTTAGATATAGGTTGAGGTTAATTTTCCCAAGTTTATCCAGTTGTTCCAGCACGATTTTTTGAAAGAACTGTCCTTTCCTGCATTGAACTGCCTTGGAGTTTTTTCAGGACAATCAAATGACTGTATGAGTATAGATCTATTTCTCGATCTTCTATTTTGTTCCACTTATCAATTTATCATTATACCAACACCACATGGCCTTGATTTTAGCTTCATAGTAAATCTTGAGTTCAGGTAGTGTAAATCCCCCAGCTTTATTCTTCTTTTAAAATACCCTTAAGTATTCTAAGTCCTTTGCATTTCCACATGCTTACAATTAATAGCAATTTCTGCAGAAGTGCCTGTTGGGATTTTGATTCACCATTGAGTGTATAGTTCAACTTAAGGAAAACTGACTTCTAAACATTTTTGGGTCTTCTCAGCCATGATTATGGCACATCATTCCATTTAGTTAGGTATTCTCTAGCTTCTCACAGCAAAATTGTGTAATTTTCAGGTATGTGTTTTGTTAAATTTATTCCTAAGTATTTTATGTTCTCTAAAAATGGAACTTTTCTCTTTTAAATTTCATTTTCATTTATCTGCTGTAATATAAAAATTAAAATTGGGGGCATATATTGTCCTTGAAACTATAAATCTTTCCCACAAAGAAAACTCCAGGTTCAGATGACTTTAATGTCAACTGGAACCACGATTTAAGAAAGAAATAATACGACATTAATATCTTTTTCAGAAAATAGAGAAAGAAGGAACATTTCCCATCTCAATACCGATACTAAAACCTAAGAAAGATATCATGAGGAAAAAAATTGTAGACCAAAATCAGTAATAAGCATACACACAAAAACCTCCAAAAAAACCGAAAAGAAAAAAAAAAAAACCCCACAAACCCACAATTAGCAAGTGGAATTCAGCAATATATATAAAGGATAATACATCATGACCTAGGAATGCAAGGCTGGTATGACATTCTAAATGAATCAAAGTAATTCACCATCTTAAGAAGGAAAGAAACCAGAAGATCGTGTCAATAGTTGCTTTTTATGTATTTGACAAAACTCAATACCATTCACGAAGACTCTCAATAAGCTACAAATAAAACAAAACTTTCCCAGTTTGATAGAGGATAGGTATGAAAATGAACAGCTAACATACACTTTATGATAAAATATTCAATGTTTTTCCCCTAAGGTCAGAAACAAGGTTCTTCCATTCAACACTGTCCTGTAATACATATAAAGTGTATAACAAAACAAAAGCATTCCCATGGCACCCTCACCCCCTATTTCCCTACTTCCAAGAGTAGACTACTTCCCATCCTCTTGTTTTGAATTCACTTCCATATTTCTAAAGTCTGAACAACCCATTTTCCTCTTTTCTCTTGTGCTGCTTGGTTTCCTCAGAAGGAATCCTTGAGTTGCCTGCCCGGGGCTCTCACTTAACCTCGTCTTCCGCACGCACGCCCTCTCTCATCCCTGCTTCAGGCCTGCCAGCCCAGAGACCCAGGGTCCAGACTTTCCTGGAGTAAACCTCCAGCCAGGCTGGAGAAGGGGTTCGGGGCCTGGAATAACAACTCGTTCCTTCCCTGCAGGCCAGGTTCGAGTCCCACTTGGTGTATGAATTCTGATTTCTGTGTAGCCTTTCAGGTAGTCCGTGTTTCCAGCCCTCCCCTTCAGAACTTGGCACTGGTGATCTCTGAGTGCTAATCTGTTCTGGGCTCCCCTTTACTTCAGGCTCAGTTGGGTTGATGAGCAGTTATCTGCCTCTCCCCAAAACTGTGTTGCTACCACGTCCTCTCTCTTCCTGTGTCCTTGTGAATGTACATCTTGCTCTCTTCTCTCCTATTTTAGCGAGGTTCCAGGGAGGAGGAAAGGGTAACCTCCACTCAACCTGCCATGGTCCTCTACAGAGGAATCACCCCCATCTCCTCAAGGACCTGTGACTACTGTTTTTCCTTATACTTTCTTCCCACCTCACCTCCAAATACACAGTGACATTTGTGTATTTGTTCAAGAAATAGTAAGTGAATGTTTACCATGTGTAGACACTGGGACTTGAACTGTGATCAGGCCACAATCCCTTGCCTATAGGAGCTTCCAGTTCAGAGGAGGGACAGGCAAGCACGTGAGGAAGTCTAAGGGGGCATAAGTGCCAAGCAGAGCATGGACATGGTGCTAGTGGAGCATAGAAGGGTTCCTTCCCAAGTTGAGGCATCAGGGAAGGCTATGCAGAGGGAGAGGTGTCTCAACAGAGACCTCAAGAGAGAATGGGAATTAGTCCAACCAAACACATTTGTGCCCCAACAAGACCACAGGGAGAAGAGCCAAGGACAGTCACAAAACCCAGCCATCCTACCTCCTCCCCGCAACCCTCATCCCTACTCTTGGGGACTCTACTCTCACCCTCAGCCCTACTTTTGGGGACTCTGCGGGGCTAGCTCCTTGTCCTTGATATTCCCTCTGAGTGTGAGGAAGGCAGAAATCACCCAAGACTCAAATGGTCTTCTACCTACTCTAAGAAATGTGGGTAGGGAAATGTGCAGGGGCTTTATTTGTGGTCAAGGGCTGTGGTCTGAGGTTCGATTTCCGCTTCTTTTCCTCAATTTTCTGAAGTCATTTGATTTGAATTCTTTGCTTCTCTCTCAAACCGTAACCCAGGACTGTACCTCACCCATTCATCTGTCAGGAGAGCAGGAAGGGACAGAACACCCTATTCATGGCCCAGTTTTCTCCAAAGGAGTGAAACTTTTAGGAAGAAATTGAACAGATTCAATCTTGTATATTTATTGAGTAAACCAATCCTGGGTAAAGAAAAAAGAACACTAGGTTTTGGGACAGAGGCTGGGGAGGTGAGAAAAGTCCCCTCCCCTTCCCTCCCACCACAGGGGGTGGGTCACTTATAAAACTCATGCTCTTGCTCGTCCTTCTTGATGACTGTCTTGTACGCTTTCTCGAAGTCCTTTGCCAGAACAATGTAGCGGTTCTCACGGACGGCTAACATTCCACTCTGTTGAGGGACGAGAGTTAAAATCTATTCCCCAGCCCTAGTGATGGTGGAAGGAGACACCAGGCCCCAAGCCCGAGGGAGGCAATGTGGGACATGAGGATTGTGGCAGAGTGGTCTCAAAGAGGGTCTTCATACACCCCCTGCCAGGATCCAGAGAGAAACCCTCACTCACCTCCTGACAGATGGAATTGATATCAGCTCCTGAAATCTTATCTGGTCGGGCCACATCTGCGGCAGGTGAATTAAGGAAACCCCTTTCCCTGCATGAGGGGGTAAATGCCTGGAACCAGAAGTCATCCTCGAGCTTTGTCACCACCCCCACCCCTGGACCTTGGTCTCCTGCCCTGTACAAGTTGGGTCACAGTGAAGGCAGAGATGGTGATGAAGATCCAGTCCCCGTTCCCAACCGGGACCCTCCCCTCACTTCCAGAGCAGGATACAATCTTCCAAGTCAACCTCCTCAGAGAGATTCATCTTGCTGGTGATAGTGGAGAAAATCAATCTCTTCTGGCGGCGGTCAGGGAGTGGAAATTCGATTTTACGGTCAAGGCGTCCTGGCCGCAGCAGGGCAGGATCCAGAGTGTCTGCTCTGTTTGTGGCCATGATCACCTGGCATTGGGGACAGGTCAGCTCAGGCCTCTGTCCCCCCTACACCCTCTTTCCTGTCATGATACCTGCCCCCGCACATGCCAGCCTCTACCTTTCCCTGATTCCCATACCACATCTCCCCTTGCCCAGCCTGAATCCCGAACCTTGACGTTAACGTTCTGGTCAAATCCATCCATTTGGTTCAGCAGCTCCAGCAGGATTCTCTGAACCTCCCTGTCAGCTGGAGAGTGCAACACGGTCAGTCCAAGGCATCCCGTACAAGCCTGCTCAAGCCCCCAGGCCCTGTTGAGGCATCACTCACCCCCTGTCTGGGCATCAAATCTCTTGGTGGCAATGGCATCAATCTCATCTATGAAGATGATGGCAGGTGCGTTCTCCTTGGCCAGGCGGAACACGTCCCGGACCATGCGGGGGCCCTCACCCAGGTACTTCTGTACAAACTCTGAGCCCACGACCCGGATAAACGCAGCTGATGGCAAGATGACAAAGGTTAGATGAGGAAAGGCCTCCCACAGGGCCTGTACTGCTTTACATAAAGAAACTGTGAGTCCCCTAAAGACATCCCTTTCTTTGAACACCCACTCCAAGTAGCCCGGGTCATTCTCTCATGCCCTGGGCTGTGTCCCAGATCCTGCTGGGAGGACCAGGCATCTGCTTGCACCCCGTAGCAACCCAGCAGCCCAAATCACGAATCCAGGACCCCAAGCACATATTCTGACATAACCAACAAATGGCAATGTAGTTGAAGACAGGCTTGTTCTGGGCCTCTCCTTTTGAACTTATTTCTTAAAGTCTAACGTGTTTGTTAATGACTAGATGCGGCTCTGTGTGGCATGAAGCAACAGAACCCTCCTTTTCAGCTACCACAGGGAAGGGAGCCATGCTGTCCATGATGCAGCCCTGGAGGTTTTCTGTCCTAACCAGGAGCTGTGCATGTGGCAGGCCTGTTCCGCCACGCCCTAACATCCAGAATCCACACCCGGCTCAAGGTGTTCCTCCTCTCCCTACCTACATCACCTGGGGGTTCGCTCAACTGCAAACCTCAGGGTATCTAAACACATCCCAGTGTTTGCCTCAGCCACACATTTACGTGGCCGCTCTGCAGGTGTCCACATTGTTGAAATCCCAACTTCTGAACTCCCTATATCTGACTCGGGCTTCGGTCTGTCTGCCTTCCCCACACTCCACTGCTGCGGTGCCCTGTCCACCCCCCGCCCCCCGCCTCCCCTTCCCCGTCCTCCCAATCTCTCGTACTGTGTTTCAGTGAAAACCTCCTGGTCACTGAATTACAGCACGTCCCACACTCAGCCCGTCTTTCCCCAACGCCAATCCTGTGAGGGTCACCATTACCCACCCCCCCATGGCCCCAAGAAGAAAGTGGAAGTTGCTCCTGACTCCTCCCACTTGCCAACCCCCTCTAGTCAGTCAGTAAATCCTGTCACTTCTGCCCCCTGATTCTACCTTCTCTCTCCAACCCCTACCCCCAAGGCCTCTGCCCAAGGCTATAACAGTCAGTCCTCTGGATCACTCCAAAGTCTTCCAACTGGCTGTCAGATTTCTCCTCTCTCCAGTTCACTTCCAGCTGCCAGAATAATCTTTCAAAAAGCTTATCTAATCATACCACTTCTCTAATGGGGTGGCCACTGGCCACATGTGGCTGCTGGGGAACACAAATGTGGCTGGTCCAAAATGAGATAGGCTGTCACTGTGAAATACTCACCGGACTTCCAGAGAGACTTAGTACTAACTAGTGGAAAATACCTCAACAAATGTCCACCAACAAATATCCGGATAAATAAAACATGGTATATACATACAATGGAATATTATTCGGCCTTAAAAAGGAATTCTATTTTGACACCTGCTCCAGCAAGGATGTGCCCTGAAGACAACAGGCTAAGTGAAAAAGACAGTCATGAAAACACAAATGTAGGATTCATCTACTTCTATGAGATACTCATGTATGACAGCCAAATTCCTCGCCACTGGAAGTAGAACAGAGGTTATCGGGTTTGGGGGCAAGGGGGTGTGGAGAACACAGTTAGTGTCTAATGGGTATGGAGTTTCAGTCTGGGACCATCGTTCTGTCCCAAGTTCTGGAAATGGGACAGGGGTGGAGGTTGTGCAGCACTGTGAATGTTCTTAATGCCACTGAATTGTACACTTAAAAATTGGTTAAAACACTAATTTTTGTTATATATTTTTTACTATAGTAAAAAAATTTAAAAAATCTTCAATTTTATATCTGCTACATGTTAAATAATAGTACTTTGATGATACTTGTTAAATAAAATATATTAAGTTCACCTACTTCTTGTAACTTATTTCTTTTAGTGGGTACTTAAAAGTCTTAAATTCTGTATGCGGCTTGCATTGTATTTCTATTGTCTCCTGCCCGTCTAAAACCACCCTGCTCTCAGGACAATGTGCAAAATCCTTGAGATTTGTGCTAAGACTATATTCACACCCTTTCTGAGCTCTCCAGCCTCACCCCTGGGGAACCTGCCAAGCACAGCCCTCCTTCAGCCAGCTCACCAACACCGGCTGAGCAAGTACCACAGTGCGTTACTGGGCAGACACAGGAAACGCAGGAAAGAACGAATGTACAAGGTCCTACCCTTGTGGAGTTTCATCGTGGTCTACTCACAACTCACTCAATAAAAAGTTCTTCCCCACCCCGGGCCTTTGCACATACTATTCTGGGATGCTCCCTCCCAACTGTGTGCCTGACACATCGCTCATGCCTCACTTCCTCTGGGAAGCCCTACCTGAGAGGCACAGGCAGAATGGACCAACGTGCCCTCCCATGAGGGCGATCCCACTTTTCTCCCTGCTTCCCTGGGGCATCTACTGCTCTGCAGACTGCTTCTACTCAACCTCCCCTCCAACTGAGCCCCCTCGCTCACTCACTTCAGCTGCAGGGGCCTCCTTGTTATTCCTGGAACACTAAGCACATTCCCGCCCCACCAGACATTGCCGCCGCCTGATACGTGCCTCCCGCAGACATCCATGTAACTCACTCCCTCACGTCTTTATGTGAACATCACCTCATAAAAGTCTTCCCCGACCACCCCCCAGTTCTGCCATATAAAGTGGAAGCCCTTTGTCCTGCTTCCTCTCATCATGCGTTCAGCACCACGTGACCTATAATCTGTACACCTGTTTATCTGTCCAAGGACTTCCCCAACTAAGACATCACCTCCACGAAGAAAGGAGACTTTGTTCTGTTCACTGCCATGTCTCCTGCACTTAGAGCGCGGCTTGGCACACTTAGGTACTCAATAAATAGTAACTGAATGAGTTCTATGTGTTTTTCTTTTTCCGCAGCCACACTGGGAGGTTCTCCAACACGGGACATGTCTGAGCTCAGCTCAGGGCCTGGGAGAGCAGAAGTCCAATGAACTACTAAGCAAATGAATGTTCAGAACAATGGCTGGCATTTCTTGTCCACTCTCTACGTGCCAGGTATGGTTCTAGAAGCTTTATATTGATTTAATCCTCTGAATAACCCAGACAGATAGGAAACGGAAGTCACAGAGAGACTAACTTATTGAGTAGTGACATACACTAGCTTACATAGGGGAGCCAGATTTCAAACCCACTCAGCTTGGCCCATAAAACCCACTGCTTAACCACTGCCTTCTATTGCCCCCAGCTCACACGTGTTAAGATTTTAAGATGTGCTGAGCCTGAATCTCAGGCTTTATAAACAGTAACAGAGCGACTTTCAGACATTTTTGTCTGGAAGCTATAAGAAATACGTGTATAAACAACCACAAGTGTATGTGTGTACGCAAAAGGTTTCACGAATATGAGCTCTTACTATGTGGGATGGATGCTGATGTTTCCAGTTTCATTTTTTTACATGCTGGTTGCAACCCATGAATTTGAACTCATGGTTACTAATGGGTGACAACCCACTGTGAAGCAAGTCTTCTGTTAGACGAGGGGACTGAGGCATGAGGCAGTGAAGCCACCTCCCCAGGACGGCACAGCCAGTAAGAGGCAGCCTGGGGCTTTGACCCCACAGCCCCCGTTCTTAATCACCACACCTCGCCACTTCCTGGGGAAGATGAGAAAGCAGGGAGCGAGGTCCCAAGAGCCCAGAAGGTCAGAGCTCCAGGGAAGGGCCCAGCAGCTCACCTGTCGTGTGATGAGCCACGGCCTTTGCCAACATGGTCTTCCCGCAGCCAGGTGGACCATACATGAGGACGCCTCGGGGAGGGTCAATGCCGATCTGAAATGCAGAGGTAAAGAAGGATGAGCCAGGGAGTCCCACCGCCAACTTGAGACACGGAGGTGGGAGTGCCCTTCCCTGGCACTTCCAGCCCCTCACCTGCTTATAGAGCTCAAAGTGTGTAAGCGGGAGCTCCACAGCCTCCCGCACTTCTTGCTTCTGGATGTCCATGCCCCCGATGTCTGCATACATCACGTCTGGCTTCTGGTCTGGTGGGAGAGCAGAGCGGGGGCTCCCAGCCTGGCCCACAGGGTCCCCTCAGGCTTCCCCAGCCCTGGGCTCCCCCTCCCACCTGAGGTGAGCATCATGATGCTGCTGTCTGCCTCAGGAGGCAGCACGTCCACCAGGGCATTGCTGTGCTTGTGGAGGGCCACCGAGGCATTAGGCTTGAGCAGCTCCCGGTCAATGGTGCTCAGGATGCGCACGTAGTAGTTGGAGCCTTTGGGAGACAGGAAGGGAGCAGGGAAAGTCAGAAGTGCAGAGAACCTCAAAACTGTCTCCTCCCCCAAATCTTAGAGTCGTAGCCTCCAGGCCAACAGTATCTTTCACTCAGACCCCGAACAGCCCTCCTGGCCTCTAGTCTTGCCTCCTCCGGTCCATCCCCACATTCGTGACAACAGCTTCCTTGTCCATCTCCAGCCCCGACGGTCTCTCAAGCTCCAGCCCTACGTGAGCAGCAGCCTCCTGGAATGTGTCCCCCCGCGTGTCCCCAGGGTGTCCCTCACTCACTGTGCTGCTCCTCTTGGGTCCCTGTCTCAGAGAGGCCCGTGGTCCCTAGTCACCAGCTAGAGTCCCAAGGCTCATGCTGGACCTTTCTCCCCTGCCCTCCACAGCCCATCAGTCCCTGTGCTCTTCCACCCAGCCTCCTGAATGTCTCCAATCTCCTCTCCTTCACCACAGGCCCCACCTGATTCAGCCTTCCGCTCCCACCTAGGTCTCTGCACCAGACTCCTCCCTGCTCGCCCAGCCTCCAGGCTCACGGCTCCCATCCACCTTCTACTCTTATGGTGCTGATACTCACCTCTGTGCAGCATCAGTCTCTCTCCTGACCTTCAGACCTGGCTGGCTAGCAGCCTCCCAGACCCCTCCCTGTGAAGTCCTCGGCTGCCTGCACTGTCTCCCTCCAAACCTACTCTTCTGCCCATGTTGGCATCTCAGGGATAGCCCCACTGTCCCCCTAAGTCCTACAGGTCCAAGACACAAGCCTCATTCTGGGGATCTCCCTCCCTTCACCACCTCACCTCCGGCCCCTCAGTCCAATTCCAGGCCCAGTTACACTCCGTTCCCCACCTTTACAAGAACATGGCTTGGTCCAAAAGAGCAGAAGCCAGAAGCAGGAAATGACAGATAACACACAGAGACAACAACCATCATAAGGGCAGGGCCTGAACCCGTGTTAACAACAGCAGCCACCACATACTGAGTCCTACCAGAGCCCAAGCTCTTCACACTTCACCCATGGTTTCAAATTGCCAGTCCCAACCCAGTAACTGTCATGAAATCAACTCAGAGGGTCACACCCAGAACACTGTTTAAGACAAAAACAGGCTAGAACAGAATAAAAAACATGAGTATGTGACACATAGTAAGGCTAAATATCATTTGATGAAACTTTCAATATATATTTAGTTTTTATATATGGATATGTATGTAGCTGACCCTTGAACAATGCAGGGGTTAGCAGCGCCGACCCCTCAGGCAACTGAAAACCCACATATAACTTGACTCCCCAAAAACTCAACTACTAATAGCCCGCTCTTGACCAGAAGCCTTACCAATACCAAAAACAGTCAATTGACACATGTTTTGTATGTTTTACGTATTATATACTATAACCTTACAGTAAAGTAAGCTAAAAAGAGAAAATATTATTGAGCAAATCATAAGAGAAAATATGTTTACAGTACTGTACTGTATTTATCCAAAAAATCCGTGTATAAGACCCATACAGTTCAAACCTGTGTTGTTCAAAGGTCAACTGTACACCTAGGTACATATATATATATATACACGAACACACACAAAACACACACACACGTGTAGAGAGAGAATATAAAATATATGTCTACTTTTATATCAAAGTCAGAAAAACACCATTACATTGCCTTGCTTTGTTTGTTCTTCTAAGACCCCAGCACACTTCCGGGTCCGTGACAGGAAAAGAATTAACCGATGTTTAATGAACAGATGAGTGAACGAGGTGCCCCCCTACACACCCACCCACGCACCTGTGGTGGAGCCCACAATGGCTGTATTCTGATCCACAGCCTCCAGAAACTGTCCGATGACCAGTGGGATGCTCTGGATTCGCTTCACCTCCTCCTGGGCATGGAGGAATTCCTTCTTCAGGTTCTTCTGCTCATCCTTGATGTATTCCTCCTGCACCTCGAGGAACTCCAGCTCTTGCTGCAGCTTCTGTGAGCGGAGAGGGGTAAGGTAGACGGTTGTGTCCGGTCCTGCTGAGCCAGGCAGCAGTGGAAGGTGGGGGGAGTACGGCATGCTGGGTCCTGTGCAGGGTCCAGACTGTGGCTGACTGTACCTTGTAGCGGCTGTACAGGTCCTCCAGGTCCTCGGGCTCAGGCCCCAGGAAGGAAAGGCCCGTCTGGGGCCGTGACACAGACAGTGCTGGGATCTCATCCTAGAACAAGGGAGAAAACTCAGGTTGGAAAAAGAGCGTCCCCTCATGAGAGAATCTAGAGCACCCTCCCCACTCCACCATGAACCACTCAGCCCCGAACAGGCTCCTGACATCATTCAGCCCCTCTAAATAGACTCTACAAGCCTCTCAGTCCCCTAAATAGGCTCCTGATGTCACCTAGCCTCCAACAGGGCCCCTCTGTCAACTAGCTCCCCAAACAGGTATTTTACTATCATATGCCCCCTGTAACATATCCCCGATATCAACCTGACTCCCAACTAGGGCCTAAAGGTCACATCAACTCCTTACCGGACTCTAATGCCTCTTAGCCCCCGTCAACTAGTTCCTAGTATCACACGACTATCTCATTATAGGCTGTTGAAGTCACCTTCGAACATTCTAACATGACCCAGTTTTCCCCAAAAGATCCCTCATGTCACAGAACCCGGACTCAAATTAGGTCCTTATGTCATCCAGTTCCCTAGGTCGGCCGCAAACATCGCTCGGCCAGACCACAGATACCACGAAGCCCCCCAACACCAGCCAAGCCCCGAACGTCAGTCAGCTCCCGGCCCCCCGTGAGACGTCATTCGGCCCACGGCCAAGTCCCCTATCACTCACGCCCCGACACATGCGCAGCCCCGCCGGGTCACCGACATCACTAAGCACTCCTAGCTAGCCCCCGAAATCATTCCGTGCCAAAGAACCCGTAACGTCACTCATTCCTGCAGCCGCGCGTTCTGAGCCTTACTGCCCTCCTAACATCATTCAGCCACAGAGCCAGGCCTCGGGGCGGCAGAGAGCTCTCCACCGAGGCCTCCAGAACCAGCCAGACCCGGGCCGGAAATCCCGCAGCCACTCAGCACCCCACGCAGGTCGGCCTCGCCCTCTCCCCGCGAGCCCGGCAGCACCGGACCTGAGCTTTCTCCACCAAGATGCCTATTTCCTCCATAGTGACCAAGCCGGGCTCTTGTGGCCCAGCCAGATCTAGTCACCGCTTCCGCCGACGCTACCGGAAGACTAGGGCCTCAGTGGATTCTGGGAAACGTAGTTTAAGACTTCGCTAGGGAGGGCTGGATGGGCCGCAAAGGATGGAGGGAAGGGAAGTCTTCGTCCTGGGCTCCGCCGCCAAAACAAGCTTAGGCGCCCTCCTTATCTGGGCTGGGGACGGCGCGCGTGCGCAGTAACGCGTGGTGGCACCATCTCGAGCGGCGTCCGCGCGCAGTTTTTCTCGCCAGTAGGCGGCGCTGCCTCCTTGCTTTTTCAGTTGAGGAACTGGCAGATCCGTACGGGAGAGCTTGGTGGCCAAGGGCTGGTGGCGCTCATTTAGTGGCGGGGCTGGAGATGCTTTGGGCGGGGTTCCCCAGAGGGCTTCCTTTAGGAGATCTAAATGTGGGCAGCGCCCGAGGATTGTCCCCCGTGTGGGGGCGGGAAGCACCGGGCTCCACCCTGGGGGTTGATATAGTGTGGGCCTGGAGTGAAGGCTGGAGAAAGAATTCTTGAGACGTTTTTGGTGGAAGAAGGTGCTTTATTATAGCAGGGGACAGGACCCGTGGGGAGGAAAAGCTGCACTTG